AAAAAATGGCATTGGTTGTTATTGCTATTGCATGGTACCGTCCCGTTTTAAAAGGGAATCACACCGAACGGGTTTGGGTCTAGGACCAAACCAAACATGACAGTTTCAATAGTCACGGTACGGGTATTGGACCATCCCAGACTATGCTCACCCCTAACCAAAATTAGTGATGTAAATATCGGGGAACATTTACCATATACTCCGTATTTTATTAGGATAGAATAAGAAAAACAACAAGTGATATATGGGGACCAGACCAAAACCTCACTGGAGAAGACATTCCTTCTCAGAGTACAACACACCAATTTTTTTTATCATCAAAACTAACGAATTAAATTGATATCATCATGACATTCAGATAGGGAGTAAAATGACAAAAGAACCACATACAACCGTCAGCCCTCGAACCAGACTTAGAGTTGATCACCTCCAAAAAAGCTATATAACTCGTTGATCCTATAATGGGCATAAATGAGCCAAAGACAGTTAAAGCATACCTCCTATCACCCAATCCTAATGCAAGAATCTTGCAACAATAAAAGTAACCAACAGAAAAATAAACAGTCTGATAATGAAAAATAAATAGCAAGCACATAGTAAAATTAAATATTGATTCCAAACCCTAAACTCTACTGCTCTCCATGGCGGCGGTTCAGGAGGAGGACGATCCAACAGTACCGTAGCTTCTTCTGCTCATTGCCTCCGGTCCAGATCTGTTCCAACCCCTAGCCTCACGCTTCGTCTATGACCTTCTGATCGCAACCATGAACGAAATCCTCGAAACTCTCCACTAGCTGCTAGTGGTACACAACCTTTCGCCGCCATATAGGGCTACAATTCGATATATGGTACACTTAAAATGGATAACGGGTGAATGAGAAATTGATTCTCGAAGTTCACTCGTTGAAATAGAAAAAACTAGGAAAATGATGGGTTATAGTATGATTTATCCCATACCAGAATACCCATGGGATTTCCAATCCCTTATAAAGGGAACCCTCTTTGAAGGCGTTAAAGGGTCTATCTTTCTTCTAAAGATAAGATTTAATTTTTGCTTCTTCATGTAATGTTCTTATTTTGCTCAAGGTGCACCCCGTTGGGAGGAAGCTGCTGCTCCAAGTTGAACGACCAGCAGCAGGCAGCTGCTGAGACGTTACAACATTAATGCCCAACGATTATGCAATTAAATGGACTGTTTTTGGATGAATCAATGCCCAACGTTCGGGTCATTGATGTCCAACGTTCAACTCCATTAATACGTCATTAACACACTACAAATCGATCCCTATAAATGGATGTCAGGTGCTTTGCAACAAACACAACACACAACACATTCTCCACGTTGTTTTCAGCTCAAAGTCTCAAACACACCTCCAGTTTTCAGAAATATTCCTTTGTGTTCTTGCTTGTTCCCGTTTGGTGGAACAATTCGTTTGGGTGCTTAATGATTGTTCATAGTCATCGTATCATGGGAAATGATCGTATACTAGCATCTTGGGAGACAACGAATACGTTTTAAGGATATTGTGCGTTGCACACGTTTTGACTAATTTTTGTTTCATCTTTTTTCTGTTTTCTTTGGCTATTTTAATTAACTTTAATTAATTTATTTTCTTTGATTTTCCGGAACACATCCAACATGAGGTATGTCCTATAGTAAGCCCTTGTCTGGTAATGAGACTTTGCATCTTCGGATATTAGAGATTATACTTGGGTCATCTGTTTCATTCAACTTGGAAAATGTTGAATCATGCTTCAATAATTCACTTCGTCGCTTTTGTCGCAATAAGTTCTGCCTCATCACTGGATCTCGCTTGGAAGAGGAAAGATGTAGCAGATATCATTTGTCCCTTTTAGTCTCTCAAGATAGCACCTCTGCAAGCTCTGCCTAGTAAGAAAGGCGCGTCAACATTAAGCTTTAATTGATTGCTCAATTTAATCCATTTCACAGCTCTGAAATGAATTGTTAGCCGACCCCGAATTTAATCCATTTCACAGCTCTGAAATGTTGTTGTTGTTGTTGTTGTTGTTGTTCATGGCTCTGAAGTATATAGGAATTAATGATTCTTCGTAAAGAAATTGGTCAATAGGCCTACTCTTCATCTTTGAGAAATTTGAAATCCACTTTTTTTTGAAGAAAAGATGATTTTATTCATAACAATAAAAAGTACAATGCAAGAAGCCGAATAATAAGTAAAAAAAAAACATAAAAGAAAATACAGAGTAAAAGAGAAAAAAGAAGAAGAAAAAACTAAACCCAAGGGAAATTTCTGGATTGCGATCTAGTCCTCATGCTATGTCGCCTTTTGTTTTGCTGAGATTTCCGGTAAAGTTTTAGATGGGTGTTCAGATTGTCTGTTGGCAGACAATTTTCAGAGGTGACGAACTTTGATTTATGGCAAATTGTTGTGTTGAATTTTGAGTTCCCAATTTCTTATTGATTTGATATTGGAGGACGACGATCACTTTCGGTTGCGTGTCCTAGAAAATCGTCTGAGAAGAAAGAGTCGTCGGAATAGCCAAATGTCACGCCCCAGACCGCATCCAAGCGCGTGTACAACTGCCGTATGACTAAATGACGTCACTCGCAAGTCAACGTAACTTAATCATACAAGGCGTCCATGAACATAGTTCATACCATACTCAGTAAGTAAACATACATAACAACATCACATATTTGGATTGAACGAATCGCGGAAATATTTAGTATTCAAACATGGGCCACACATGGCCAAAACGTGGACTCGCAGGCCCAAAACAAATGTACTTATTACAAAATATCCATGAGCATAGTTTATGGTTTTAAACAGTAAAGGAAGAACGAACCACGTCTCCCTTTAGATCACTTCACCGAGCAAGGTGAGAATAGCGAGCTTAAGCTTCAACCTGAAATGGTGGGCCCCCGAAGGGGTCAGTACAAGTACCGAGCGAGTAGCAGGCTAAATGTAGAATAACTAACGTTTCAAGTATAAGACCCTAACATAGGGTGATACATATACGTATAGTTCCATCCCCAAGTTACAAAATACATATCAATATATATATCAATACACACACACACACACACACACACACACACACACACACTTGGAAATACCCGACCCGTAGGTCATTGTTTATTTGGGAAAAAAGTATAGTCAATATCCTTGACTTAAACCCCAACCCACCCATATACCTATGAGTGTATAGAACTCCTCCTGGTTCAAATCATCTTAACTTGAGGACACCGCCCAGTCCTAAATTACAAAATAGTAATCTATGAGTTTGGAGGATACACGCCCGATCCTTGGGTACTCCACCCTATATAACCGAGTTTTGAGGACACACGCCCGATCCTTGGGGTACTCCACCCTATATAACCGAGTTTTGAGGATACACGCCCGATCCTTGGGCACTCCACCCTATATAACCGAGTTTTGAGGATACACGCCCGATCCTTGGGTACTCCACCCTATATAACTGAGTTTTGAGGATACACGCCCGATCCTTGGGTACTCCACCCTATAACCGAGTTTTGAGGATAACCGCCCGATCCTTAGGTACTCCACCCGACTTATGATCTACCACATATCATCTTAGATAAGGTCTATATCATAATCAATAATCAAGACTAAACCAGATCTTAAGGCCTAAGCATAATCATCCATGCAATTCATGCATTAAAAATCAACATATAGGCAAAACAGCACCAAACCGGCGCCAGTTTTGCCTATAACCGGCGACGGTTACCCCCTGGGCAACCAGTCAACATTTTCGTTGACTCGCCATTTCAAACCCGATTTACGTCAAACTTAGTCCCAACGTGTATTAAGTTATAACCAAGCATTTTATACCATGTTTATCCTTTAAACATCATATAAGTTTTTATAAACATTACATGTTTAAGCATCTTTTAAACATCATAATGAACCCATATAACATTCACTTAGGTAATCTCATACTTAACCCAAGAGTTATAAGACATTAAGCTGTCCACTAACCTCGAGTGAGCGTGATGAAGTTCTACCCTTCTCGGTTGAACTCCGGCGAAACTCCGATGAACTTTGACGAACTCTGGCGATAACTCCGGCGACTCTTTAAACTTCGTGAAAGCTCTTAAATCTCTTTTGACAAGTGCCTAACAAGGTTTTATCATCACAAAACCCATATCAATAAAAATAACCTTTAAAAGGTTATTTTCCGGCGAACCGTTCTCTTCGGCCTCTAAGTCCGTTCTTGGACTTGGAGCTACTTTCCAACCCATCTTTCCACACCTTTGGACGTGTAGAAACACCCTAGGGGTTCCTCATACAATATGTAAGTCATATGAAGTTCAAAGAGAGGAGAAAAAGTTACTATGGAGTCATTACCTTAATTATCCAAGCTTTTCTTCACTCTTTCTCTCCTTAAACTTTCTTTATGGATTTCTCTTTGTTTGAGCTCAAGGTGCAGTTATGGAAGATTGTGTGCAAAGCTCTTTCCTCCTTCCTTGGGGTGTGTTGGTCGAGAATGATGGATGAGAGAGGGTGGAGAGGTTGTTTTGTCTCACTTAACCAATGAGTGAATGAGAAGGGGCCCTTTGGCTTTCAACCATGTTCCTCACATCTCTTCATGCATCATCATGTGTCCTTCCAGCTCTCAATAGTCATCTCTTGCACACAAAAACGTGGGATGTCCCCCACTCATGTAGGAGGTCATCCAAACTTGTCCCGAAATGTACAATCGGTCCCGAAAGTTGTATTTCTCGGACTGTTTTAACTATATTTTATTTTATCGGGTCAAATAAAATATATAGTATGTTCTCAATCATTACGGGCCTTTATAATGAGTATATTTTCCCCCTACTTTAATTTGGAGGTCTCCGAAATTCATTTCGGACTGTTATCCGATAAATTACCCAAAACTGGTAATTGGGCCTCGTTTGACCAATCAGTCAACCCAATGCCTTCCTTATGGCCTAAAATGAATGTCCACCACTCTATAACTATTATCTATACCAAGATGAATAAAATATGTGGTCTCGGGAATATCGAGTGGTCCCCGCTCCCGGTGTGGACCCACGTGCAATTTACTATTCACGCCAAAGAATTAACAAGAATTTACAACCTCGTAAATTCACTGACCATTCATAAAGTTCAATACATAATTTACATAGAAGTAAATATACTTGGGGACGGTGTTACACCAAAGTTTTCCGACGCATCAAAATATGCCTGAATAAGTGGAATTTGTGGCTGTTTCTCAAAAGAGAGGGACTCTTGCTTCTCGCCATAGGCTCTCTGAACTTCATAATTAAATATTAATTTGGAAATAGTTATTTGAAATCCACTTCTGCGAATAAAATTTATCTGTTGAATTGTGTATTCAACATATGGTATCACTTGATTTGCACAGGTATAAGATGAATATATCTTCCATATATGCCAACTGATGATTACATGAAGATAAGCATGAATAAATCACTTAATCTCTTTGACCCAGCTTCAATCCACCGGGTGATGAAAATCTGCTTAACTGAAACATTATAGGTGTAAATGAAATATCGAAAAGCCCCATGTAATATCTCCAAATTCTCTCAAGAGTAATTACAAGGTTTATCCTCCTCCAATTTATTAGTTATATTTATGTTGTTTTTCCATCCTCTAAAGTACATATTTCTATGCACTTCTGATGTATGGAGTATTTTTTTTAGGGCAAAGGTATTAATTAATATTAATCAAATCATTGTCCAATATAGAGGAAATAAATGAAGGAGGTACATGAAACCAATACTGAGAATCAGCAAAGAACATGCCATCTGTGCCAAAGCATGAGCTGCCCTGTTCGTTGACCTCCTGATATGAGAAAAAGAGATGCCGGAAAAGTTCTTAGCAATATCTCTAACATCATCTGCAACCAACCCATAAGAAGAATTACTCGAGCCCTTCGTAATCTCCATAATAGCGAGTGAAGCATCAGACTCCACTTCAACGTCCCTCCATTCCGAATCAAGTAACCAACTCAAGGCCTCTCGTATCCCAATTAACTCAGCCTCTAGCACTGATACAACTCCCTGCCTCGGACTAGCACCTCCAGCCACAAATTGCCCTGTATCATCCCTAATACACCAACCCAGACCGCATGAACCTTCCCGAATAGCAGCATCAACGTTGACCTTCAACATTCCCGCTGTTGGACGACCCCAACACTGGACAGGCTGCTGCCCTGCTGCTCTTCCTTCCTTGTTGACAGTCTGCGCCTCAAGCCAGCTCGTCACAAACGCCTCCACCTTAGCCATGAACTGTATCGCCGAAGAAGGAGACGTCTGCCAAACACGTCGATTTCTTTCACCCCAAATGGCCCAACACCCCCAAATAAGCTTCACAAGATCCTCCTTGCTTCTTGACCGGAATTCCTTCCGAACCTGCTCCAGAAAATCAACCCCGTCAAAGGCAGACCAATTCCAAGACACCACCCCCAAGCCTCTGCAGCAACCACGCAGTTCTCAAAGATGTGCGCCAGAGTCTCCCCGGAAGCACCACACAATCCACACTGACTTGAACAATTAACTCGGCGTGAAATCAAATTAATCTTGGTTGGCAACCCATATCAAATACGTCATGTTTAGTGTATTCATTCATTAGATATCTTGAATTTCATTAATTTTATTTGGAATGCACTATCACAATCAATTTATGCACTTTTCATTAATTTATGCACAATCAAAATTATAAACGCCAATAAAGGTGGGTCTACTTTAGGTATCAAAAAATTTGTTGGTGTAAACCATAACTTTTTCAACGTCCACTAAGGGGGTGTTTGGACTTTGGATCTGGTTCTAAAACTGCTTCTGATCCTTCAGGGAGGACAAACAAAAGTTGGAGTGTTTGGGGGTTTGGAACTGAATCTGCTTCTGTTTCCTTTTTAAAACAAAAACAGAATCAGAATCAATTTTCAGAAATTAGTCTCCCCAATTTCTAAAAATCTAATTCTAAGAGTTAATTAGAGCACCAAACCACTTTTAGGGGGTGTTTGGATCTGATTCTCAAAACTGATTCTGCTCCTTCAGGAAGTAGAAACAGAAGCTGGAGTGTTTGGGTGAAATTCGAGAAGCACTTCTGGAGCTCTAACTTACTCTTAGAATCAGGTTTTTTTAGAAGCTGAGAAGTACCAGCTTCTGAAAAGATTCTGATTCTGCTTCTGCTTTTAAAAAAGAAACAGAAGCAGAATCAGTTCCAAATCTTCCTCTCTTAGAGCATCTCCATTCATGATACTCATGTTTACAGTTTTTTATGACTTCTTATTGCCATGTCACTTCCACATAAGATTATCCCAAATAATCTCCAAACCTATCAATTCTTCTCATCCATGATCTTAATTTACCTACATTTATGAGACATGCACTCAATTTCAAAATCTATACAAAGCTAATCATCACCTTAATTATGAGTATATGCCTAGAAAATGGAGAGAGAAGTCTAAAAGTTGGAAATAATCTCAAAATAATCCAGCTTTAGAATTTGATACCAGATTATTTTATCGAATAATCTCATAAAATAATCTCAACTCATCATCCATGATCCAAAAAAAATCATTCACATCATCAAAATGATCCCAAAAATAATCTATGGATGAGGATGCCCTTAGGGCATCCACATTGTTTAGATTATTTAGAGTTTAATTAGATGATGTGTAAGATTATTTTAAAGATTATCATTGTGAGTGAGGGATTATTTAGAGAGATTATTGAAAAAGATAATCCGGTATCAAGATTTGAATCCCGGATTATTTTAGGTTGTAGTTAAATTTCATTTAATGCATGGTCTAGAAAAACTAAATTATTTGATTATCATGGTTGATGGAGAGTTTTGAGATTTGAGATTATTTAAAATTTATTTAATAAATATGATGTGTTGATGTGTTATAGAAAAACCATTTATGTCAAAGGAGAAGGAACTAGATCCGTAAACAAACGTTCCGTTAACACAGCCCATCCAGTCCACCCGCCCCTTCTCCCTTTTCATTCATCGTATTCCACCCTTGTTAAGGCTACCCACTCAGAACTAATTTTCTTCCTCTCATACATGATACACATGTCCGACACTCCCCCCATCCTTGAATTGCTTTGATTCCTTGATTTTCTCTCAGGCATCTCTCTTATTAATTTTTTCCCTTAATCATCTTCCCACCGTTCACTCAGTTATTAATTTCTGTTTAAATGATGATTTGATTTACAGATTTCATACAAATTTCAATTGAGGCTCGATCATAAGTCATAACCAGTAGAGGTGATGCTTTGCTCTCTTGGTAGAGGCTCTATCCGTTGTTCGACACTCTAGTCCGGGTAAACTTTTAGCCCCTGGCATTTGTTTACTGCCTATTTTTCTTAAAATAATAATTTTATTGTCAGTATTAGTTTGAATAACCATTTGTGGAACATAAGTCCATGCTTAAATTCACTGTTGGCCGTTTGAACTAAATTTCCATAGAAAGTTTTCCTAAAACATACATATAGGCCTAATAGTTATGTGGGAATATATAAATAACTAATTGGAGCTTTTAATTTATCAGTTGCTAAGGAATTCCATTTATAATTTCATGCCTCCCACATAATTTATCAAGTATAGTGTGCTGTTTTTTTACGGGGTAATTTTCTAAGCCTTGATATGAGATAAGGTTTTTGTTATTTTAAGTCTCCAGCCTATTTTTTTTAAAACAAGTTACTACCATTTACTGAATAAAAAGACTTCTTTCATAGATTTAACCAAATTAGGATGGTGGATAAACTCTCTATTCCCTTGAAGCCCATTCCGATCAAATTGCTTAACAGCCACAGCTTGCATTAATAAATTTGATCACAATCAACACTCAGTTAAAGCAAACTATCGAAGAGAGATGGTGGGCAGTGATGAAATCAAGAGAAACGAGCTGACTTGCACCAAGCTTGAAAAGTCAACAGTTTGAATAAGAATGTTGAGTCATGCAGGCACATATATATAGTCTTTAGATTTCATCCCATTTTTCTTTTCTTCCAAATCTCCCATATATTTTCCTCCCAATTTTCTTTATCTAGTTAACTTTTTCCGGATTCCAGGCATTTCCTACAAGACACAGATAGTTGCACTCGGTAGTGATGAAATCGAGAGAGAGGAGCTGACTTGCGGCATTCTTGAAAGTTTGAAAATTTGAATAAAAATGATAACACGTGCGCACACACATATTTTATAATAAATCCCAAACTTCCTTTTTTCCAAATTTCCCATCTATTTCCTCTTTAATTTCTTTCTCTACCATTTTCCGGATTAAAAACGCATCACATAGAAGAAAGGAGCTCACATAGCTTGCAGTCCTTGCACCATTCTTGAAAACTTCCAAGTTAATTAAATTCCTAATGCATGCTCATACACATATGTACCTTTTAAGTTTCTCCTCAGTTTTCTTTCCTATCCATAGTTTTTCTCAACATTTTCCAGATTCCAAAAGGATCTTGCAGATGGTCAAGATATTTTTATGTGCTAATGGATTATGCTCTTATGCTAATTTTCACGACTTAAGAGCTTTAAGATTTGAAAAAAATGCAAACTCATCTCAACAAGTAATTACTCCTATTTTTCTTTTAAATACCATCAAGGACTCAAGGTTGTTCTCTTTTTGGGAATGTTATCCTATTCCAGACAAGTGTAAATAGCAATTGATGTTGCTACTATGCGCACAGACTATTAATAAGTTTTTTATTAGTAGTTCTCTTACTAGAAGTGGTTTTGGTTTTAGATTTAAGCACCAAAAATTCTATTCAAATAACTCCAATCCGATATTTTTGTAAAGAAATAATGACAAATTAAAATATACGTAGTATTAAATATTTTATGTTATTTTTATGATTTTTCCTTGAAAAATTAGGAAATTAAGGTCTAGCTTTTTGAAGGCTTTGTATATTTTTTATTTTTCCTTTCATTCCTCTCACGATGAAAGAAAGTTTAAAATTGTATTCTTTGATTGCTATAAATATTAACCTGGCAAATACTAAATATAATCATATAGAGATAAAAATGAAATATGCATATTTTTCAATAAAAGGTGCATGTGGCACTTGTACAGTTGCCCATAGCGCGTATAAAAACTAGCTATGCCTAAGTTTGGCAGACTGCTAGCAACGGACGAGAATGTCTATTAGAAATACGGAGTGGATATGTCTACACCGACTCTTCTCTTTGCAATGGGAGTCAAAGCGACAAAGCGAATGAGTGAATAAAGGGAACCAGAAATCCATCTTCTCTTCGCCTCTTGTTTGGCTTCTGCTCTTCACCTGAGTCAGTGAATCACCTCTTTCCTGAATCACCTCTTGTCTTTGCCCGAATAGCCTCTCGCTTCAGCTGTCAGTTTTTTCGGTTTAACTCGGTTTGATTCGTTTCATTATTTGAAGGTTTGATTAACAATTAAATAATTAATGATAAATGATTATTGTTTCTCACTTATGTATGCCGTTACGTGCTTGATTTTATTCTTAATCCAAATATCTAATTTAACCGATTAATGATTATTGATTTAGGATTTCAGTTGTTTGTGTGCTCGCGTGTTTGTTTTATTTTTAATCCAAATATCTAATTTAATTGATTAGTGATTAATGCTAAATTTCAGATTAGTTAATATTCTATATAACAATGTCAGATTTTAGATTAATTTTAATTGTCAATTTGTCATTGAAGGTTGGAAGTTTTCATTTTTTTAACTATTAATTAAAGCTTTAGAGCCGGATCATCACTACGATACTGCCAATACAAATTTTGCATGTGCTCAGGTGTTATTGTCTCACATGAAACATCTAATTTGATTGGAAGCGATTACTAAGTCTCAAAGAGAAACTCTAGATAGATTTAAGATATCTTAGACCCTAGTGCAAACTTAGAATGTGGGGCCTCGTTTTGGTATTAGAACAAGGTCTCTCAAATTTGTTAGACTAGCCTCATAAGATGGGAAGGCAAAACCAGCGGTACTTCTAAACCTGTGTGCCAGAACTTGGAAGGGTAGAAGGTCTGACTGCAAAGCGAAACAAATGGGGAAATTGGTCGTCTAATTTCTCTATACTAAACCTGTACAACAGTTTATTTTCTGGAAGTGTGATTGCATTAAATCAAATTTCTGCTCTTGATATGTTTTTTTGCTTCATTGTTCTACCTATATTTTACCTTAATTGTAGAAAAAAGTATGGTAAATCCAGTTTATATCCAGAAAAGAAAAGGTTAAGGTTTAATCTTATTTGCAAATCGAATTAAGATCAGATCTTTTGCCTTGATAAAGCCACAATAAAAAATCTAAACAAAAATTTCACTTATGGTTAAAATTGTTCTCATGTTTAGCAAATTTATTATTTTTAGTTTAATATACGCACTATTCACTGGTACAGTACCCTTACTAGTTACTAGTGGATCTGTTTTGATTAGTTTTATATGATTTTAATAGCTCTTTATTTATAACTAAATTTGGAGGAGTGAAGAAAAGAAAAAATATCAATCCTATTTTCAAACCAATAGAGCAGTTTATTTAATGTTCTTCATGACAAACTAGAATTAGCATTGACATATAATTAGTTAATCTTGATCATGTAAGAAATCCTATTATTCGGATTTTAGAAATTGACATATGTAGTATCCTGATTAATGTATAGTGCAATTTTGTTTTAAGATTTTGATGGATATAATGGATACAAATATAAACAGAAGGTCAAAGTTCAATTTGTATTTTGTAATGAAGAACATGGCCATCATAGTTCAAAATGGGTTTCATGCATATTTCATTTTACAAGTGCACCAAAGATTTTTTTACATGTACACATAGTTCATGCCCTCACCGCGCTTAAAGCTTGGGTACACAACTAACGGCAAAATGCTCTTTCAGGTTTTTAATCAACCGGCAATTTGTTGTCTCCTATCAACCTCACCTGGTGATATATCTCAGCGATTGAACATATAATTATTTTCATCGGGATCAGATTGTCTTTCAAAAGAAAGCATGAGTGATTCGGAACAGAGCCATAAGATGTGTCACCACCTGCATGAGAAATTTTCAGATTCAACTGTTCTCTTCGGCAGCCTGGATGAAAGTTTGTTATATGAAATCCTTGCTAGGCTCCCCAGCAGAAGTGCCATGCAGTTGAAATTGGTTTGCAGGCGCTGGCATTCTCTGATCTCTTCTGCCTATTTTATTACTTTTTACAATCACCGCCGTCACGACACATCCCTCCCGCTGATTCGGGATCGTGATTCGCCATCATATAGCCTTGTACTCCAATTGGCACATCAGACGTCTCTCATTCGTTGTGGCTACACCTATGGTTGTGCCAGATCGTACAATCACAGGATGCTTGATTTAAGTTTTCTTCCTTGTTCTCAGAGCAGCGGCAACATAATTGAACTGAACGCTTCATGTGCGGACTTAATTCTTTGTTCTTATAAGCGACGCCCGTTGTCCCGAACCAAACTTTACTATGTTTGTAATATTCTAACTGAGCAGTGGGTTGCACTTCCTCCCGCCTTCCACTTCACAGACCAAGCCATTGGCTTCCTATGGATTAACATTCTTGCACCATGTTCCCTTTGCCATTGCAATGGTAGTAGTCAATGTGTACCGAACTCCCGCCACAAATTTATGGTGGTGCAAATCATTGCACATGAGCACAATTTGCCCCTTTCTGAGTTTGAAGTTCATCTCTTTTCGTCTGAGGATGCCCAGTGGAGAAGATTGACAGTTTTATCCCCACGAACCTTGAATGTATCTCGACCAAAAAATTATTCCGGGGATTTTCTAGGAAAGTCGTATGATGTTCTTGTTCCATACAAAGGTATGCTGCATTGGCTGACTTCTGATTGTGTTGTAGTGTACGACCCTTATGATTGTCCGGAAGGATTTTCTCATCTCATTGATTTGCCCCTAGAATCGGATTCCCAGTACACTTGTAGCAGCATTGCAGTGTGCCAGGATCGTCTTTGTGTAGGGCTATTTTACTCCGCCCAAGGTTCATATGATATATGGGAGCTTGAGGACTATGAGGAAGGGAAGTGGACTTTGGTGCACAAGATTTGCACTAGAAACATGAATCTTGACCCTAATCATTTGTTCCCGGATAAATGCATACTATATATCCATCCTGACGGAAATGTTTTCTATAAGGATGAAAAGAACTCTTCTATACGGGTATGCAATTTTCGAAGTGGAACCATAGATCACTTATATGAGTTAATCGACTGTGAATCCAAGGAATTGGATTTAGAGCGAAGGAATGTCCTTCAAATTTCTGATCAGGACTGGCCAACGCCAGTACCGTTGTTACTGCAGAATGTGTAGCCTTTTACATTCAATTTGTTTTGTTACGCATTAGGTGCCTAGAAGGTTGTTCACCTCTTTTTAGCTCATTATAATTATAATGTAATTGTGTTATGATATTCTTGTCTTCTTGTCATCAATTCATACCAAATTTGCAATGTTAGATGCTACAATCAGTCCCCATGACTAGAAGCATTTTTAAAGAAATCACTCAGTTTAGTACTCTGTTCGTAGATCATTCTTTTCTCTTGTTATTTTTACAATATCCAAACTTTAGTCCCAAAAGAATTTGGATTGACTAACATGAATCGGTTATTAATTTTTTTTGTTGATGATTGTTAACTTCTATATCCACAATTTGATCAACCAAATATTGAATGAACAGTTAGAACTGGATTTTTTTGTTTAAAAAATATAATGTTAATTGATAGTGCAATAATGAATACCACATGTTTTAAGATGTGCATTTGAACATGAAATGAAATAAGGAAAAAATACATTGGCTCTAAAAAAAGAAGAATTGGGCATATTTGAATGAAAAAAATTGTGGGCTGGAAAATGGAAATATGTTTGACAATGAGCATATTTGCAACAACGAAATAAAATATATATTTAATTCATGGGAGTTAAATCATTTAATATATACAACAGTCTTATTGACGCAACCAATGGTTACGTAGTTTTCGAATCACTTGCCAACGTCTTATTTGCCAACGTAGTCTCATTTAATATATACGATCAGTTTTCGAATCACTTTCACTAAAAATACATCAGTGATTTCTATGCTTCTATTATGGTATTGTACGGTTTATGAGTTTACGATTTTGAATGTGATTCAAATCAATGATGTGTACATTTAAAATTACTTTCTACTATAGGTTATAGTTTGTTCCACAAATTTGTTAGTGTACACTCTTATTAATAGTACGTTTTTATGATTTAATTGAGATTTTAAGAACCTAATAATCTCTTTAGTCATTTATTTGAACAAAAATTGGTCCGGTGGTCCCTTAAAATTGGCTAAGTATTACAAGTTTTGAAAATTAGATTGTAAAAAAAAACAGTGCCATACAAAAATCCCAATAGCACAATCATGCTTCACCACCATCACAACAGGTTAATCATAATAGTAGAGTAATAATATTTGAAAGAATTAGATTTAATACGGAGTCCTGGATAAGAAATTAACGGCATCACCTTTACTTCCATTTTTTTGGTTAAACTGTACGCATAAATTAAAACAAAACTCCCGAGAAGATGAATAGCAAGAGCTGGATGGATCAGGTTGTAAACTTAACGGAATGTTGGGATACTCCTGGTATAATAAGAGTTGGATTGATTAGCTGTACAATAATGTCAGTTTAAAGTACAAGTTCATATTACATGTGATTACACCAACACATTTTTCATGCCTAAAATGACCTTACCCTCATCCCCTTGTAATTTTGTAAAGAAATACAGCTTTGGCCCAATTTTTTACTACTAGACATTTGTTTTTTACAGCTTTGCCCATATCTTTTGTTTGAAGCCTAAAACACTTCTAGCGTTTATGTTGGAATGCAAATAAGCAACCAGCCTGGTTTTATGTTTTGGGTTTCAGATTTTCAATTTCATATTTAAAGTATGTATTTGTAAAACAATGTCTATCATTATGTTATTTATTATTTGTGACCTACAATTTCAATAATGACATAACCTGTATTGAATAATGCATGGCTAGTTGATAGATGTAATTAAGTTGGTTTACATATTAAAATGGATTATTTTATTATTCTAATAATAGTAACGGGGGTTGAGGGCTTCTTTGAAATAACAATAATGAATTATCTTTCCCTGGTTGGTGGTGTTGTGAGATCACAATGGGTTGAGGTATTTTTTGGCCTCTTTTAGGCCATGGGTGGGTATTGCCAATTTGGAATTGTAATTTAAGGAATCTTGCAAGTATGAAAATGACTCACACAATGCAGTGACATGTAAACTATGGTGTTTGGAATTGATTTAAAAAGAAATAGAATCAATTTTCGAAATTGGTCTCCCCTCACCTCTTAAAAAACGGTTTCTAGCATTGTCAAATAAGTATATTTCTATACATGAATTTAGAGAAGCTTGAAATCTTATGATGTAATCTAAAGAAGTGTAGAGTTTTCAAGTAGCTCGCAAGAGTTTGAAGTATTTGTTGTGGATTTTTTTGGAAGTGCAAAAATCTTTAGTCTTGAGGCTTTAGAGTGTTCTGGAAGTGTTAAGTCCTATAGATTCATCTCGAAGATTGTACTAGTATAAGATTTTAGTGACTTCTTGGGAGACTACAACATTAAAAGGAGGTACGAAAGTAAGGATTGCAATTTTGTTAGATTAAGGGTTGGTTTGCAGATGGTTAAAAAAGCAATTCTCAGCTTTTGGCTTAAAAATCACTTATTTTATCAAACACTATCAATTTTTATTTTTCTCGGCTTTCGTGTCAAAAGAGCTTTTACATTTTCTATTACACAAAAAGCACTTATTTTACCAAACGCTATCAACTTTTACTTTTCAAATTTACTTTTTTCTCAAACACTATCAACTTTTATTTAATCACTTCTCCCCATTTCATTAAAACACTATCAGTTTTTTTTTTTAAAACAGAAGCTGTTGAAAACAGACCCTAAAGACAAGATTGGCAGCTAAAGTACGACTGATTCCTGGGTATTATACGTAAGCGAAAGAAACAAAGGCGTCGTTGGATCCTAACCAAGGTCGCGTGCATCATCTTTGTAGCAGGACTGTGGATTTCGCAGGCACTGTTTGAGGCATAGCAGCGGGATTTGTTCGCAAGCTTCCCGCAATTCGTGAGCAATTGAAGACTGGAATGATTCGACGCTATTGATACATGTGATAATCTCAGTCTGATTTCCTTGCCGGTGTATGCGGTGTTTTTATTCCCCTTAGTTATAGGATGATTATGTCCCCACTAGCTTTGGCTATTCGGGTGTGATGATTGCTTGGATGGGTTGCGTGAGCAGGAATTGTCGCGGGTTAGGAAATCTAGCCATGGTCCAAGTGCTGGAGGTCAGTATGAGGTTGATGGAAATGGACCAAAAAACGGTTTCCCGGAGGTGCTACTCGATCAGCACCGCTTGGAATTCCATTAGTTCTTGTCCGTGGCAAACCTCTTCTCCCTTCTCGATGGCCGGTAAAATCAGAATGACGTCTTTGAAAGTGGTTGATCAAACCTCTTCTTCATTGCTGGTGCCTGGAAAAACCATAAGATTTTATTCTATTTGTTATTTTCAGTTTAATAACTCTAGTGTTATGTTCATCTATTTTAGTAGCAAGTATTGTGATTCTGTTAGATTGGTCTACCATGATGCGGGGTTAGCGACCTTGACGAGTCCTCAATGGCGGGTCAGTTCTATGTCTCATCCCACGATAACTCAGATCTATTGGTTTTTTCTCTTGTCGTTTCCATTATTATTAATAAATAAATGTTCTTTTAAAAAAAGAGACTTAAACAAGAAAAAAATATATATCAAACCCTACTTTAATTTAACTGTCCGGGTTAATGGGGGGTTAATGGGGTTGGTCGGGTTCCCCCGTTTTGACCTGTTTGAGAACAGGTCAAAAAATGTCCATGTCGAACAGGTCGAGCCGGTGTGGATGTTAGAACATGGCCTCTTACATTTTCAAATATCTAATCTTTTTTTTTCAATCTGTACGGTCATGGCTATATCTTGTTCTCAGTTATTAACTTTTAAACACTATTAGATTTGCATTTTTAATTCGTAACTTCCATTATGTTAGGACCAAAGGTACCTAGTACCTTTGGTCCTCCTCGTTCACTTATCAGGTTAATTCTAGTACAATTTTCAGTTTATTTTTATTAGATAAGTGATTAAAAACATCGAAAGTATTAAAAAGTCAATAATTGTGCACCAAATTTTGAGAAATGAAAGTCTATAACCAAAAGCAAAAATGACTTAAAGAGCAAAAGAGAGCATTTCCCAGTTAATAATATTGTTGTTTGGGTTGGTAGAGAGGCTCAAGGATGAAAAGGAAGCGTATTTTGGGTGCAAGGTTACCATTAGTGTTTATGATTTGAAGAGAAATGCTAGAGGTACACACTTTGTGTACACATTTTGTGTACACTCGTCTGTCTCTTAAGAAAATTTTGTCTGTCACAGACAATTCATATATGAGTTGTCTGTGACAGACAAAATTTTCTTAAGAGACAGACGAGTGTACACAAAGTGTGTACCTCAAGCATTTTTGTGATTTGAAATTGAACCATCCATGTCTTGACCAAATCACGAATAAACAGGTAGCGTATATCAATGTGCTTTGTCCTTGCATGGAATATGGGATTCGTCGCAAGGGCTATAGCATGTTATCAAATGAAATAGTTGTACGACCTTTTTGCTTTGTTTTAAAAATTGAACCGGACTTGCCGGGTAAACCTGGAACCCGATCAACCGGCACTAGATCCGGTCTGGCTAGCTACTAAGTAATCCGTCAGTAGGGTGAAAACCGGAAATAACCGATAAACCGGCCTAAACCTGGAACCGGCCCGGAGTGTTCAAACCCGGAAAGCCCGGTAAAATCGAAAAAAATTACTCTGGAATGAGGGCCGAAGATTCGAAGACAACACCTCTTGATTTGTCTTGCAGCAAGTAGGGTTGTAAACTAATCGAATCGAGTCAAACAATCAGATTTTGTATTTGTATTTGTTTAATTTTTTCGAATTCGAATTGATAAAATATGAAACGAATATTAATTTCGATTTGTATTTGTATTTGTTTAATAATAAGAATAGTTAACGAATCATATACGAATATCGAATCGATTTGAGCATAGGTTAAATGTTAGTCAAATATCACTTTAAAATAACTTTTTTATACTCCGTATTTTTTATATTGTAAATGCATGCTATGACTTAATATGTGTTTTTAGAATTTAAATTTAATGGATCAATGCATTTTTAGATAGTGCACAATATACTAAAGTGAATTAATTTTATGATTAATAAATAGAAATCTATTTCAAACTTTTTGAAATAAACACTAACACACAAATATTATAAATTATACTTATGATGTGTGAAATAAGTAGATAATTGTATATATCAAAGTCAAACAACTCTAATTTTATTCTTCAAATCCAATACATAATTATTTGTATTGTATTTGAAAGGCATTTGAACCAAAAAATTGATTTGTATTTGAATTTATATTTTGGTGTATTACAAATGGGTTTGGAATTTGTATGCAAAGGTGTATATATGGGCTACGCTTTGAGGGTATTGCTATCTTTTAAAAGTTATTATAGTGTTATTACTATTATTATTAATATTGATATTAATATTTTTATTATTATTAATCGAATATATTTGATTAATTTCCGAATGGAATACACTTATATTCTTATTTGTATTTGATAACAACTCGAATCAAATTTAATATTTTCATTTGAATTTACCGAATTCGAATCGTCTCTTGAATCGCGAATCGAGTACAAATTATTTGATTCGTTTACAACTCAACATAGAATCGTCTACTGCAATTAATTGAAGTGAGAAGCCGCGTAAGCGTTTTATTGTTTCTAACTATTATTGCTTCCCAAAGTTTCTTTTAATTAATTGATATTAATAACAAAAATATGAATACTAATTTTACATACAATTTTTAATAATATATTTGATGGTCCCTAATGAGGTAAAAGTCTAGAGGGGTGTGAATAGGCTTTTAAAACTTTTCAGTTTATAAACTTTTTCCCTCTTTTAGAGTTTGATTCTAAACCTTTTGAGAGGCTATAGAATGCACAACGAAAGTCTTTATCTCTTTAGAACGGCTGGATTATGCTCTTCAGTTATAGAAAGAATGACTTTCTATTTCAGGTAAGTTGACAAGAGATTGTTTCAAGGATATTTCTGTGAAGTTGGATATGAAAAGAGTTCTTTTAACGTTTGTGGAAAACTGGAGGTAACAGCAATTCTCACAAAAGACACTGAGTTGACTGGACGATTCTTCAACAGCAGGTTGCTGCCGGAGAGATGTTGAGGTAGTTGTTCAGTGAAAACTTGAACTCTTTGTTAAATGAAAAAGCAAACTTCAAGGTAGTCATGGACCTGGGCCGGGCGGTTCCGGGCCGGGTCCGGCCGAGCTTTTTTTTGGGAAGGAAGGCCCAGGACCGGCCCGGGTAGCCACCGGGTCCGGTCCGAGCCTCCGGTTTGGTTATATATATATATATATATATATATATATATATATATATATATATATATATATATATACACACACACACACACACACACACACACACACACACACATATATATACACATATATATATACATATATATATATATATATTGCTTTCCTAACCCCCCCCCCCCTCACTCCCCCACCCCCCAAACCCCTCCTAACCATCAAGCCCAACCCGGGTGGAACCCCAAAAATGAAAAAAAAAAAAATCAATTCTGCCCGGGCCCGACCCGGCCGGTTCGCCAAATATAAGACCCGAGCCCGGACCCCCCCCCCCCCCCCGCCGGGCCTAGGCCCGACCCGGACCCGGACCCGAGAACCCAGGCCGGTCCCGCACAGTAGCGGGCCGGTCCCGGTCCCGCACAGTAGTGGGCCGGTCCCGGTCCCGCACAGTAGCGGGCCGGTCCCGGTCCCGCACAGTAGTGGGCCGGTCCCGGTCCCGCACAGTAGCGGGCCAGGCCGGTCCCAGGCCGGGCGGCCCGAACCGGGTCCAAGCCTACTTCAAGGGAATGTATATGGAGTTCAAGGGATGGGCCGGGCAGAGCCCGATTAGCCGAGACTGGTACCAAGCCCGATACCCGGCCTGACGTATATTAGAGACATGCTTTGGGCTTGAATTTTTGGGACGGTTCCGCAACCGGGCTCAAAGGCTATTTAAAAACTAGTTTTAAACGACAAATGCCCAATCTTGTATGTGGAATACACCATTATATGCCTCACTTTGAAATTAAATATAACAAAAAAATTAGTGAAACATTAGTGAAGAAAATACATAAGGCTGCACAAAGTCACCTGCATCATGAGTTTTTTTTTTCAATTTTTGCTTTGATGAAAATATTTTAAGAAAATGTAATTTTGATGGGACAGTATTTACCACCATTAACATGTTTCTTGTTTCAACAAAGAAACGAAAAAATAAAAAACCAATGATTGTTTATAACATACAATAAGTGTTTAAGAATAAAAAAAATAACGTTAAAAGTAAGGGAACAAAGCAATAGTAATTCACCGCCCCCGTGTTAAATGAATAAACGCTTATTGCCATCAAAGTATCACACCGGATAGCTCAGACCTCAGTCCCATAGCCGCAGAGCTGCTTCCTACCAAATGACACTCATTCCCAAATTGGTCGGGACTAATGAGTTTGATAAGACCCCTGTTCTCACATAAACTTAAAGGGACCCATGGCTGTTTTTTCACTTGACACCAAACAGGACCAATTATTTAACACTAGACAGTAAACACTTCAGATATATAATAAGGAGATATGTGTCTAGGTGTGCGTGTTAATAGCACTAAAATAGTGAATAAGAGCTGAAGGAAGATGATTATAAATATGAAATAATATTTTACTCAAAGTAATTCATAAAAAATGCATGATATTTTCAATTGTAATTTTGAATGGCTCTTGAGCATATAAAACCTGATATGGTAATACCGGAAAAGGAAGTCAAGTACAATGATCATGCAACATAGACAACTCATAAATATTTGGACTTATCGTACTCTAGAAGACTAAGGTCACTGCACATTAAGAACTTCTGCAACCAACAAAAGATAGTAAACTATATAATAATAAGTAAAATTAGTATCCACATTTAAGTTAATAACACTCATTCACACATTCGTGGATATGCAATGAGGCTTGATCAAGAGAACTTAGCTTCTAACAGAATGATCAAGCCTTACTTGAAGCGACACTCAGAGCACATTTCACGGGATGAAGCAATTCTATTAATCAAAAAGGAAAATAAATGGATTTATTAATCAAAATTTTGAAATAAGAATCTAACACTAACAAAAACGGTGAGGAAGAAAAGGATATTAGTGAATCTGAGAATGAATGCTTGAATCAAGTATATTACTATGTTATGCCTATTTGATTTTCCATTTTGTTTCAGCAATACTTTATGCCCCAATTAAATATAATTATATATTTGTACGATTTAAATAATCTATTTTATGCCTGAGTCAAATACTACATACAGAATATAATTTTATATTTATATTGAAATAGAGGAGGCCTTTAGCTCCTCCCTCTATCCACTATTATCTGTATGACTTTGTACTTGTAGTTAAATACGGAGTACATTTTTAAATGTCTTCCCAGAGAAAGCTAAGATAATTTTTTGTATGTATTGAGGTATAAGTAAACAAAATGACATAAAGTCTCAGATAAATAGCAATGAATGTCATTGAAGCAAATTTACGAACACTTAGTGAACACTATTTCCCCCTCCTAATGCAACCATTTTTAATATGAAATACATAATCCACTGCTCCCATCAGTAGAAGGAAGAAGAAGCTAAGCTTACTTATGACATCACAGTCGATTGAAATTCTGCCTCCCCTTCAAATCATTCTGTCTCCCCTTCAAAATCAAAGGCTTCACAAAGCAACCCAATGAGTAGGCGTAGTGAGTTAGTGAGCAATCAAACAAGAATGGATGGGACCAACTTTGAATAAAAGTCTTAAAAAACGAAAGCTAGCAAATTTTTAGTAGGAAAAGAGAAGCATCGAAGCATTCCTCATCTCCTTACCTAGTGGCAGGGAAATCCCAAGAGTGAAGTTCTCAAGCCTTTCCAAATAACCCATTTCGATTTCTTTCTTCCAAGCAACTAAGACATCAAAGACTTTCTACAAATTACGATCTGGTTGCTTTTCCTTGTGGGATTTCAGAGTACTTTAGAGGATTTCACAGCAATGAGTAAGGTAGATTGAGAGATTAAAACCCCTAATAAGTAAGATACATTTTTGAAATCTTTGCACGCAGAGAAAATAACGCTTTTGTCAATTTGCACTTATGGAACATCGGCTATGCAGAGAGGAACATCGGCTAATCCAACCTATCTACCGGGCTGAATGGAGAAACGTTTGAGAAATGGAGAGTCGGAAATGAATTAAGTTGGCAAGATTCTACTCACGGTAGGACGGAGACGCTTGTTTGACGGAGATAAACTAAGGAGAATACAATGATTTAAGCTGTTGGTGCACGTTGACAAAGCAAAAACATGCGACGAACATTTTTTTTATACCCAAATTAGTCTCACCATCATTCATGCTTATAAGCTTTTAGAAACAACTTTTTTAATTAAACAGGCTTAGGCCCAGCCCAATACTGTTTGGACCCGATCCGGGCCCAGTACCGGGTCTGAATTTCTTAGTCCAGAAGTTCGGCCGGCCTGAGGCCCGACCCATCCTATCCATTCCAGTCCACCCCTACTTGGGTGGACTATGGGCAGTCCGAAGCCGAATCTTAAAACCAAATATAAAAAGGAGGTTATTTATAGTGTGTACAAAGAGTGTAACTCTGTGTACAAATGTCTTTCTCCTTGTTTGTTTCTTTACATGCAAAAAGAATGTGGTTACCATTATTTTACCCTCTCCCAGCACAAAGTCACAAACCTTAACCACAAAGTTATTGTTTTATTATTCTATGTGCAGATCAAATGACAAATTTCAAGGATGTGGGAATATTTGATTTCTCTTTGCCAAGCTACCTCGCAATCTCCCATAACGTTTTCATAAGTTACAAATCACTGTGAAAATTACATTATACAACATCACATTTTAAAGCACAGCCTTCAAATCAGGCATCCAATACCAGAGAAAAAAGAGTCAAAACCATAACGTTCATCACACATCCAACAAAAAGAGACAAAACCATCCAACAAAAAGAGACAAAATCATAACATTCATCACACATCCTCAAACAGAAACATTGAGTCGAAGGGTAAAAGGCACAAAGATAATGCTGTTGAAACCGGAGGGGGGCATAAACTGCATTTACCACTAGTTCGCTACGTGCCACCAGAACAAGAAACCTTACGCTTTGACACTTTAGGTGAAAATACCACTGCAACAAGTAAAAGGCAGTCAGTGATGTGAAGATCGGCGATATGTGCCTTATATATAGATAGATATATCATACAGTCTGGTGATGTGTGTGTGTGTATTTACACACACACTTGAGAGTACCTGCCTGAATAGCTAAAAACCCTGTTCGAGCAAGTAATCGCCAATCTTTTCAACAACCATGTTGCACTGGCCTGGGGTCATTGGCTCATCATATATCCCAATGAGTATGGACTGTCCTGTCTTTTTGATACATATACCACCAGGACCCTGGATAAACGATTTACATATGTCAACACCAAAAATTGCAGTAAACAAGTACGGAGTATAAAGCAATGAACTTTTTTGAGGATAAATAATTCTTTTATTTGACAAACAAGAATTCTCTAGTGGGCTATGTAAATCCACGGGACTATAAGCGGCACAAATTTTTAAGAAAAAAATATGGATACTCTTTATGAAGCATTAACTCGTTTGCCTAATTAATTAGGGCTTTAGAAACTTTGAGTTTCCGATTTTTATGGGATTTTTTATGGACACCAGTGTCTTCTTTTAAAACTTTTAATGAACTTGTGAGATTTTTCCTAGCAAAATAGTCTTTGTGACAGATCTCAACGCAATGCACTGCTAGATATATATCGCATTTTCTTTGTAAGCATATGATAAAAGTATCCTTACACTTTTTTAACATCGACGGTTTCCCTAATGTTTTGTATCATATACTCTATCTCATTCTAAGGTTCTCACTTCTCTTTATGGGACATCCCGTTTAAAGGTTCTCATTTCTATTTTAGAAAATAATTAATACTCTTAAATGATAAATAAATCATCAAGTATTACAGATAATACATCTATAATATCACAGTTATCATCAATGACTTCATTATATTATATAACCATCAAAATTATTCTCAAAATATACTCGAATTACCATATTTAAATATTATCTAAATAACTACCTCATTTTTACAATGGGAACCTTTGAACTGGACGGAGGTAGTATTTTGTAAAAAAAAAATCGTTTCACGCATTTCACATTCCCATTGCATCTTTCAGTGCTACTTGAAGTTATTCCACCTCAAGACATAAGCAAGACATAATTAGAATGAAAAATCACATTGTTCTTTTTATAGGTATAGGTCTATATTTCCTACTAGCAGAATATAAAGGTAGTTGACAAAAAAGAGACCTCTATTTTTAACTTCCAAAAATGTAACTAATAAACTCCTACTTTTCTAAATTACCCTTCTCAAGTGTTCAACAGTCAACACTACACCTGCATCTTTACTCCGTAAAATTGCAGTGTTGCACTACTTACCACATCACTTCACTTCACTCAAGATAGTTCTTTGGATATGGAAACATTGGGTTCTTAACTATTTAAAATATTACACTAATAGCTGTTAAAAAAAACGTCCCGGATACTACTACTCTAGTGACTACCATCCCAATTAATATCACTTCAGAGACCACCGTCTCGGTTAATACCGCTCAAGTGACCACTGTCCCAATTACTACAGCTCCAATGACCACCGTGACTAACAGTATAATGATCAATTACCCGACCAGTTACATTACTTGACTCGTCAGTTGCAGTTACCTGACTCGTTAGTTACAGTTACCCAACCCACCAATTACAACTATTTAACCCGTTCAGTTCCAGTTACCCGATTCGTCAGTTACCCGACTCGTCAATTACAGTTGCCCGATTTGACTCGTTACAATTATCAAACACCGATCAATTACAATTACCCGGTCCAATCATTTATGGTCACCAATGACCACAACCGGCCACCACCTCCGGCCACCACCGCCGACAAACAACTCCGCCACTGCTAGCAAGTGACGACCACCTCCAGCGACCCTCTGTCGACACCCCTTCCCACCTACAATCTGTAACTCCATTCCAGACCACTACCTCAAACCACTGATTGTGCCCCTACCCTAACCCTCATTGCAATACATGCATGTGCACCAACCCCATCACCCCCTCCCCTACCCAGCCGCTTGCCCTTGTCCCCTGGTCCCACCCCAGCCCGTCCCATTCCCCAATTCGTATCCCTATTTCCCTCTACCCATGTGCGCATATACAGTATCCCAGTATCCCGAAGGTCCACTGCTCCACACCCTAGCCTCCATTATCTCCACCAACGTGTAGCCGGCCGGCCGCCTCCAGTAAATGTCATAGGCAAATCAACGGCGACTTCAGCTTGGAGGATGACATGATCATTCCGTCGAAGAAGAAGACCGATGTTGGCCAGATGCTCCACATCGAGCAGCGATCGTTCAGATCTAATCTTCGAGAACAATGGTCTGTGAGAAAGAAAGGAGAAGAAGAAGAAGAAGAGGTTAGCCGACGGAGGCGACGGGCGGCTCAGTCTGGAGGGTCGATGTTGGCATGGAGACTGTGGTCCACTTGAGGAGGAGATGTTTGTGTGAGACGGACAGACGGTGAGAGCAGATGATTAAATGGGTCAGGGGCATTTGAGGTTATTCATACTCACGGTAGTCAGATTTTTGTCTATCTAAAAACTTAGTCCTATTTATGTCCATAGCAATCCGAGGAGTATTATTTGTCTCATTCTTTCTATAAAGAATCACACAATACCTTATTTCCTCGAATAAGGGATATTATGCCAGTTTAAGAAAGGTATTGCCATATTTACAAGAGCCAATCAAGGAGGCTGTAAAGGACTTTTGCGAAAGTGGGTGCATCGATTAGTGACCACAAGGGCACCTGTGAAAGTGGTGCATAGATTGTGTTTTCTAGGACTTAAACTTGCGACCCCTGCAAGCGGGAAAGAGGCTACATCACTGCACCTCCAGGGAAAGATCTATGAATTAGACATTAAGGGCACGTTTCTCCAATAGTATTTAAAGAAATTTCACTAAATAAGAGTAAGAAAATGGGTTATTTTACTAGATGTGTTTTTCCCTAAACCGGAGAGAAATCATCTAGTCATAATGAGATCTTCGGCACTCTCTTTGAAATCTCTGCTTGTAGAACAAAAACTTCTTTCAGATAGGCGAGAGGTGTAAGCACTGCGAGGTGTGAAGGAATCTCATACAAAACGATGCAGGTTTCCTTCTTCTATCCTCACCTTGCTTCCTTTAGGCCAAGGATCTTTCTCTTGCTGTTGAAAAGTTCCGGTCCAATTCACCATACGAGTTATAGTCATTGTTCCGAGCAGCTGCCCCATTCCCTTTCTTATAGGGTTGTTAACTTGTTTTCATCAATCGGATGGCCTCCACTTATCCCTTTCTCGTGAGTGCCCTCCATTCGTCTTGCTACTGTTCTTGATAGGCAAGGTCTGGTGAATTTGTGACATTAGCCAGCCGCTTAGCTACTAAAATGTAATAGCCAATTGTAACCAAGACTTGTAAATACACATGTTCTTTGGTACCCTACTAAGGGTTGGGTTATTTCTCAACCATCTGTTTTTGGAAATTACGAGCAAAAATGGTTATAAGTAGAGCTGGGAAAAAATTCCCGACTCCCGACTCCCGATCCCGATCAAAAATCCCGACATCCCGACATTATATATATATATATATATATATATATATATATATATATATATATATATATATATATATATAAATATATATATACACACACACATGTGTATGTATGTATATATATATATATATGAAATATAAAAAAGGAATATACATTTATAAAAAATGAATATGTATCTAAATATTTGCATATCTTTATTAATTACTTATTCCTTATATAGATTAATCTTTTACAACGAGTATCTTACAATATCAAACTTCTAAAACTATTCGGCATTTGTCCGAAAATGAATATTCGGGATCCTAACTAAATAGAGATTATTCTTGATCCCGACAATCTAAATCACAACAATATTACAAATTTTGCGGTTCTGATGAACTCTTTAAAAAATCATAATCGAGACTAAGATTTCTTTCTTTAGTAAATAATCATAATATGTATTTATACATTATATTCATTGGTCACAAAGTTTCTCATTGAGTCTACTTAGTTTTGAATTTTAAATAATATATGTTACACATCCTTCTTTTAGTGATTTTTATATAATGTTTGAAGTAAGTTTCACTAAGCCTTGATAGCTTATTCAAAAATTATACTATTAATTAATTGAAGTTACAAATAAAAATTATTCTAAAAGTATGTACTAGTGTGAATTTGAGATGATAATTATTACAATAAATTTTATAAGTAGATGATGATAAATGTGGTATAACAATGAACAAAAAATAATCTTGAAACCACTAAATATCAAAGTTAGTGTTTACCTAAAGAAATTACATAATTTTATGTTTGATACTTCATTGTCGGGATTTAGCGGGATTAACCGGGATTCCCGATCGGGATCTCGACTTAATCGGGATTTTAATGTCGGGATCCCGACTTAATCGGGACAGGATACAGGATCCTCATGTAGTTTGAATCGGGATCGGGACAGGATCGGGATTTGGGCAATCGGGATCGGGATCATCCCAATCCCGATCCTAGTTAAAAGGGAGTACAACCTCAAACCCGAGGATGTAATCCAAAATTGCCTACTCGATTAACACAGATAGATTTTATAGCTACCCCACGATAAGTATTGGAAATGAACGGGGATGTGGTGCTGTGGTGGAAAGTGTGGAACCACTTTCAACACCATAGCCGAGAGCTGAAACTTGAATGGACTCAATCGGAGGCATAAGGGAAATTTTTAATGTATTTAGAATATATACTATGGGTCATTCGGAAATAGTCTCTTTGGTTTTGGCTTTAGTACATGGGTAAGACTTGTACATCCGACCCCCCCTTATCCGACCACCCCTTACCCCACCGTAGGTGGGAGCCTTTGTGGCACTGGGGTAATGATGATGATTTAGAATATATATACTAGGCATTGTAAACAACCATCATATTTCTTTCATGTGCCTAATTATATTTGTAATCAACCAAAAGATCAAATGAATGATTAATGGTGCATTCAGTTTACCTACAAAGAGTTGAGCGAATTGAAATGAAACGGTTTGAATAAGGTGGTGTGTCATGTGTGATACTTAGCTAGATTGTAACAAACACTACAAAATAGCACCTAAAATTTAAATAAAATCCAAAAATAACGGAATGATTTTCTCTTCCACAATCCTCCTTTTCTCTTTTACAATCCTCCTCAAATATATAATTATAAAATGCGAGCATAAATAATTAATCAGTTATTATTCCACCCTGATATTTCATATCTAATTATTATAGTTCTATAATTTTTTATATGAATTTGTTTAGTTTTACATCATCATTATTACTATGCAGGCCGCCTAGAGTCTAGCCTGCCCGTCTAGGAGCCCACTAGGGTGCTTAGATATTGCCCCGTTATTTCTTAACAAAGAAATAATATTACTAATGATTTCCTTCGAATCTTAATTATTTTACTAATAATTTTATAATATTTTGACCATAAAAATAGCTCATATAATCATTAAATGTTATGTTTATATAGTAAAATTATCAATAATGAAATAATTAATAGATAGATTAAGATATTTGTGTTTTCATGTCCCTAAAAATGTTAACATTCATTATAAAAAGTTTATATATATTTACAAATTATTTTTATTGTAGGAATATGAATATAAATTATACAGGAATAGAATACGTATTGATTAAACGATGTTTTAAGATATCATCATCATTACCCCAGTGCCGCAGAGGCTCCCACCTATGGTGAGGTAAGGGGGGTCAGGTGTACGTGGCCTTACCCTAGTACTAAAGCACCGGGAAACTGTTTCCAGATGACTCATGGTGAAAATCGCGTTGAAAATTGCATGAACTAATTGAAGCTTCATAACAAAGAAGTGAAGACAGTTTAGTGAGTCATTTTGATTTAATCTATCATATTTTCAAGCCAAAAATAGTGAATCTTTGGCTCCATTGCAAATGATGGAAAAAATGATGTTCGTGGAGAAGTGGAAAAGCACTAGAGAAAAGAAGTTTTATCTCACTGCTATAACTCAGACTTTAATCTTATACATATGTTTTAAGATAAAACGAAAAAAAATAAGTTAGATCAAGAAAAGATTTAGTACGGACCGCCTAGGCGCTTAGGCGGCCGCCTAGCCTGCCTAGCGACTAGGCAGGCGCCTAGACCGATTTTTAGAACCATATTATTATGTCATATCTCTACCAATAAAGATAATTATTAGCTTGCTAAACTTTTTATTTAGCTATCATTTCTCAATAATGATAACTAAATACAAAAAGTTTAGCAAGCTAATAATTAAGTAATCAAATAATGGTAACACACTAACATATAATGACTAGTTGACTACTCTATGTATCTGAAAAGTTGCTCCACTTTCTTCTTAGAGAAGTTCTTAATACTTGTTCCACTTCGCATTTACTTTTTCATTTGTACTCACCAATTTTTCTTATGTTTTCTTCTTTTCTCTAGTGCTTTTCCACTTCTGGTACACTAATCATTATCCCTACAAACTTTACTCTAAAAAAGAGTTAATAAGTTGAGGATGTCTACGCACTAGTCTAGCGGTCAGATATACGTATATAACTCAGAATTTAATTTACACGAGTCAATCAAAAATCCGATCAATTCCCAAATATGTAGACCTAAATAATAGACAATGATAAATCACTATTTATACAAAATCTTTTTTATTGGGTGGGCGCTTATTAATGGAGTTTGGTCAGATGGTATGCTGGTTACATCATATGCAGATCTCAAGATCCCCACTTTGATCCGGCACTTTGCATCACAGTGGCTTGGTGATTTATTCAGAAACCAAAAACACATATTCTGGTGTCCACATTACATTCCATTGTTAGTTTAGTAGCTTTTATATTCCAATTTGCTACTACAAATAGAATATAGGATTAAGATCATACCTTTTTTCCTCGAATAACAGCATGTGCCTCACCTTGAATCACCATATATTTTGAGCCACCTAGGAGCAATCCAGTTGGAGCAAGAGAGCCAGGTTCCTTAAAATCATTCATGATGGCAGTAATTTCTTCTGGTTTGAACTGTCGATATAAACCACGGAGGTGATTGATAATAGTTCGCCACTTCAGCAACAGTAAGGCATGTGAAACACTCAGTATAAATTAAGTGTGCTATACTAGAAAACAACAAATTATTTAACTTGAAATACTCCTTTATTAAGTTAGCCTAGGCCTATAAATTGTATTTAGTTGTTGTATTTACAATTAATCAATAAAACTCTATTCTTCAAGTTGGTATCAGAGCCAGGTTCTGATCCTGGGACCTGTGAATTATTATGGATGGAGAACATATTAGGAGATTTGAAAATATCATTTAAAGCTCCTATGAGACTCTTAAGTGATAATAAATCTGCTATTAGTATAGCTCATAATCCAGTCCAGCATGATAGAACAAAACACATAGAAATAGACCGACACTTCATCAAGGAAAAACTGGATAGTGGTCTTATTTCTACACAGTATGTTCCATAACTTATAGTTACCTAGAATACGAGGGTCGAGGGCAAATAGTAACCTGCACATTGTTACAAAAAATATGTATACAGTCAACTATCGAGTGAACTTGATGCCATTTCCTTACTCTAGTACTTGGTTACATACTTACATGCACATACCTCTATGACTTCATATATGCATTTAAGAAATCTTTCATCTCACTTTCACCCATTCTGGATGTACCAAAGTTACCAAACCTTTGCAATAGTTTTTTAAAATATAGGATGTTTTTACTTGGACTGTAATTTATCCCAGACCAGCTCAGACCAAATCAGACCAGACTTGGATAGTTATAAAAATACAAAGAAACCAAACCAGATCAGACCAGCAAATTACAATCCAAGTAAAAACATCCATAGTCATGCATTTTAAATTATTTGAAATGAAGATGGAATTCTAGACAATTTTAAACCTACACAAAAATAATAAACCTCACATAAAATTGGCTTACGCCAAGTAGTAACGCATTAAAAAATGATCTATGCATTTTCCACGATAGTAAAACAGCTTAAATTTCTGGTAAAATATAATCCTTCAGTCCTTCAAAAACTTCACACTTCTTTTGCAACTTAAGTGATTGGTAGGAAAGTCTGGGGAATGAGAATAAAATGATAGATTATGTTTTTATGTTTTAAAGCACTCCATTTTGGGTTTGAATTCAAGGTAACCAGAAATAATCCTCACCTATTGTGGCCAACTGGCCATGCACAGTTTAGCTAAAATCTTTTAAATATTGCCAAATTTGAACCACAATTTTCATTTCATTACCAAGTATTTTTTTTAAAGTGAAAAGAGCACAAAAGCAATGAAGTTGGGATTTATATGAGAAAGCGCTAAACGAAGCAAAGCTTTCTCAAAAAAAGAGATACTCATCATCGTCCATGTCAAAAGAGCTTCTTTTCTCATCCAAATTTATATCATCAACATATTCACTATGATCATTATAAAACCCAATATTTTCTTCTTGTCATTCTCATAAAAAAGAAGTCTATGGATACAAACTTTTAGTTTTCCCTTAAACTCTGACTCTTAGAATGTGATTTAGACATTTCCTCTGCATACATAATTAATTTATACCCTAAGGAGCATAATAAATAATAAAGTAAAAATACGAGTGACAAACTAACAACTCTTCTTAAGAGAAAAAATAAAAAACTTTTACAAAGCAAAAGTATCATTGCCCCACCTGCAGCCAATGACAATAACAACAACAACAACAACATTATCCCAGTACCGCAAAGGATACACCAGGCTCCCCTACTGATAGAGAACCCCAAAATCCAGATAAGCAATAGGAGAATTTATGTATACTGAGTATGGAATTTAGAGATTAGCTCAGTAAATTCCTTAAGCAAACGACAATGGAGGAAGCCATAAACCAGCGTACAAGAAGAACAAGAACAGGTCGAGACTCTTCAAGAGGTCTCACTCTCTCAACCTAATTCCAACTGAAATTCTGCCTACCTCCTTCTTTCCTTCATCTTACTATAATACTAATACAATTCTAAAGGGCCGGCCCAAACCCATGACTTACATGGACCAGAACCCTTATTTTTACAGTACCACAATTATTTCATATGGAGTCTCTTTCTATTACTAATATTATTACTCTCTCCAGCTTAGGGCTGTATCACCCACCTATGGTGGGTAAGGGGGGTCGAATGAACCCATCCTTAACCCTATACTAAAGCCCAAAGAGACCGTTTCTAAATGACTCAGGATGAAAATCGCATCAAAAATTGCATGGACTAACCACTGCTTCATAACAATGAAGCGCAAACAATTTAGTGAGCCATTTGTTTTATCCCATCATATTCCCAAGCCAACAAATAGTGAGTCTTTGGCTCCATTGGAAATGATGGAATTACCATCAGCCCATGATAGCGAAAGAAATGAAGAACAAGAGAGAAATAAAAACTTTTTTATAAAAGAATAATAATAAAATAATTTTCAGAATTTGTGATGTTAAAAAGTGGAAGATGTTAAAATATTTTAAAATATAGTGGATTGGGCAAGCTAATGGTTAAATTAGAAGTTGGAATCCAACCTTGAGAATTCCCTAACTGCGATGAAGTAATTAGGATAGAATAATTTAAATACCTCAAACTTTGAAGGGGTGTGAGGTCAGCACCCCAAACTCACATATGTAATATATATACCCCGATCTTTACATAAAAAGTTATGTTAGCACCATCAATATGTATTTCTTTATTCAAAAATGTAAACTTATGATGTTAAGCACATGATTTAAAAAACTTAAGCATTTATAAAGGTGTAGTTGAAGTGTCATAAATTTACATTGTGAAAGAAAAAAAACATATGTTCATGGAACTAATATAACTTTTTATATAAAGTTCGGGTATAAATATTACATATGAAAGTTTGGGGAGCTTACATCACACCTCTTCAAAGTTTGGGATATTTAAATTATTTTCCCCAAGTAATTATGACCCAGTCTTGTTTTCGGTATAAGTACCATAGTTAACTTAAAGAACTTGTTTTAGCAGGCCACACAAACATATATTGGCCATACATGCATAAAAAGAAGAAGAAGAAGAAAAGAAATTAAAATTCAAACCTTGTAATTTATAAATTTAAAACCATTCAATTTGATTTGGAGAATTATACGAGTTTCAATTTGTTAAAATAGAACACAAAATAGAAAGAGGGAGAAAAGAATATGAAGACAGTGTTGTACTTGTTGTCTGCGTGTTAACATAAAACAAAAAATAGAGAAAAACAATAAGAAAAGAACAAGAAGACAGTCCATATGAAATATAAATTGTACTTTGAACGAAGATTAGGAGCTTTAATACTAGAAGCTAATCAAAATGTTTTGGCTACAAGAGTTTCAAAGTATAAGGGTTTGACCTTTCTCAAAGCGATCTAATAATCTAGATCAATAGAGGTACTCAATTATGAAATACCAGAGTAAACATTAAGGAAATATTTCAAATCAAATTTAAGAAATCCTCAAATTTGTAAACCAGGGATTTCTTACCGATCATTAACCTGGGATCTGGACCATCCAGTAACTATAATCGCAATAAAAGATTCAGAACGATAAGGGAAACCGTTAATACAAATAAAAAAAATTTGTAGCAATTTCCAGGAGATTAACACTTAAACCAAACGACCTGATCCTTCCATTCGATCAAAAACAAAACAAACAAAAAAGACAAATTCTTAGGGCTCAACAATATGCAATCATGGATCGGAGTTTCCAACCAATCAGCGTATAAGTTCCGATCTAATAAGATCTGTAACCACCATAGATATTTAAACCAGCTTTCATTAAACGGAGTAAAAGACCTGTGGAAACTTGTCGCTCTGGGCCCAGACGGAACCGTCGTGACCGATGATAGCGGCAGATTGTAGTTTGTTGCCCTCAATCTCGCACATCAAGTGATCGTCGACATATGTTTGCCACGACATCTTGGGAATTTTCCGGTGAGACGCTTTCCGGTTATAATTTTTGTGCTGGATATTCGAAGCAGCTAGTGTGTCTGAATGTGATGTTCATTTTAGTGAGCAACTGAATATATATACTCGTTAATAATTAACGAAGGTAGCGGGTAGCCCACCCAAAAATACAGGTCCATTCTATAATATATGCGTCCTATTGCTTGATGGACCGTAAAAATAGAACTTAATTTTTTTTTTTTAAAAGAAAAATAGAACCTAAATTAAATATGATACTTCGTACGTAATAATTATTTATTTATATAAAGTCATATTTTTGTTCAATGTTTTATTTTGAGTTATATATTTGTATTTATTTTAAACAGATAAATGTATACTTCGATTTTGACTAAGGGAGTGTTTGCGATTGCTTCAACTTTAAAAAGGTGATTTTTAAAATGATTTTGGGAAAAGTGATTAGTAGTAAAAGTTGGTAGTGTTTGAGAAAAAAGTGATTCTGAAAAAGTAAAAGTTGGTAGTGTTTGGTAAAATAAGTACTTTTTGTGTAATAGAAAAAGTGAGAAGCAGTTTAAAGCACCCTTCTACCTGCTTCCAGCTTTTAGCTTTTAAGTGATTAATTTAAGCAAAAGTTATCATTTGAAAACACTATTTTCAACTTTTTTAAGTCAAAAGCTGAAAATCGCTTTTTTTAATCAACCCCAAACACTCTAACTTTCCTTTAATAGTTTTCAAAATTTAGTTATTTCCTTGGAAAAAAATCAACACAAAAAACTGTTGCAAAAAATTAATGAATTATTACTAACCTGATTTGAGAGAGTAGCAAGCCAAACCGGACCGGGCCGGGCCGGGCCGGGCCTAAGCGGTTATATTTTTTTTTTTTTTGGCTCTTCTATTTAACCCCCAACCCCTTCCCCTCAACCCCAAACCACCCCAAACCACCTCAAATGGCCCAAAATACCTAATCCAACTCAAAACTTAAAAAAAATTCAAAAAAAAAATCAAAAACCGGCCCGAACTGGGCCCGAACCGGCCGGGCCGGTTCACCAAAAAAAGGGCCCGAGCCCGAACCGCCCAGCAGCCGGGCCGGGCCGAACCGAACCGGTGGACCCACCGGGCCCCAGGCCGGGCCGGGCCAAACAGTAACCGGGCCGGGCCGGTTTCGGGCCGGGCCGCCCGGCCCGAGTCCAGCACTAAGTAGGAGTTCTAATGTTTTACGGAGTATTCCCTAAATAGGAGTTCCTTTTACCACTATACCCCTGATTTAATTAAACCCCATCCGTTTCCCCTCCCCTTTTGAGCAATTCATTTCCCCCAGATCTGCGCACCTCTGTTTTCCCCAATCGGCAAATCTCCTTCCCCTTGTGATCTGCGCATCTCACCGGACCTTTGAGCTCTTCTTAGTCGTTCGCCATGGTGTTCCTGTGATTGTCCCAGGTAATTTCAGACTCCTCCTTTTTCTCCTCTTCTCCTCCTCATCCTCTTCCCCTAATTTCCAATTTCTTATGTTGGCTAAGTAGCTCTCCCTAGAATTCGGAATCGTCAGTAGATAAGAGGGAAGCAACGAAGTGGATCTCTACTTTCGGTTTATGTTTTTGTTTTTAATTGCATTTTTGTATTTTCAGATCTCTTCTTTTTTTTATTCTGAATTTATTTCTTATTGATTTGATCAATTACGTAAAATTCCAAAATTATTATTAATGTCAAGTTTCATATTTTATATTGAATACTCATTAATTTTTAATTAATTGGGATGTATTTATATCTATTGAGTTTTGAATTTTAAAGTGACAATATTAATATTTTATTTTATTTTTAAATAATTTCGATTCTAACAGTGAACTAAAAATCCCATTTTTTGCATTACTTTTATCATGATGGCAATGTGAAAGTGTTTTTTTTGTCAAATAGTGTCATTTTCATGGAACTAATTTTGACCATAAAAATGGCAATAAAACATTAAGTCGTTTTTTGGCATTGCCAAATAGTGCCATTTTCATGGTACTAATTTTATAATGTCATGTTTTTTATTTTGAAAGAAGGGTATTTTTTGTCAAATAGTGCCATTTTTCAATAATTTAATTTCGTCCATTTAAAAATGGCAATAAAACATTAATATTGCACTATTAATGTAAAGATGACTGCCAAAATGAAAGTCCCATTATGCTGAAGGCAGAAGCAAGAGGACATAGTGGTGGTGCTCAAAGATACTACCGTGTGGCAGTGGCCTCGTCGCCGGAGTAGATTGACATATGAGGTTGTCGCCGGAGGCAGCGGCGGCTGAGACGCCGGTGGGCACGAGGGGCTGAGACGTCGGAGGGCGGCGACAGCGGCTGAGACGATGAATGGTTGTAGAGGCGGCTGAGATGCCAGAGGCGGTGGCGGCGGTGGCTGAGGCGCCGGAGGGCAGCTCCGACGGCGGATGAGGATCCTGAGGGTGGCGGCGCTTGGAACGCCGGAGGGTGGTGACGCCTAGAACGCCGGAGGGCGGCGGCGGCGGTAGATGGAATGCCGGAGGTCTAAGACGCTGGGACATTGAAGCCTTGAAGGATGACAAGAGGGGCTGTGGGTGTGGCAGTACTGCTAGCTAAGGGTTTTGAATTTTTTTAATTCTATTCTTCATTAAGGTTACTAGTAGCTCACCCGTGCGATGCACGGCAAAAAGCTTAAATAACAATTAAAAGAGCTAATGTTGAATAACAAACATTAGATCTACAAATTTAGAAAAACTTCTTAGTAGATAACATTTGGAGTCACATTGTGCTTTGTTCTTCTTCATCTACTAACAAAAATTTCAGCCTTTTCTATTGGTAAATCTGGAAACTGCAACATAAAGCCGACCATGAGAGAAAACTTGCTTCTTCAACAACAAATTACCCGTATTAACCGGAACATAAAGTTGACCATGAGACATACTTCTAAACAGGCTTTCAAAAAGCTCTTTGTTGTGCAATTTACCCGTGAGATGCACGGGCAAACAAAGTGCATCGAAACTACTTAAAGAAAAAACAATATGCATCAAAATAATTATTCTAATTATAGGAGAACAACTTAATAGTACTACTTGTAAACAATTAATAACAAAATCCAATATGGTTTCTATGAATTTTGGAAAGCTTGGTTTGTTCTAAATTATGCACACTAAAAAACATGTATAATTACCTATTATTATATTTTTTGTAATTATGATTTATAATTATAATTTTATTTATATTATATAATTAATTACAATAATTATAATAATTGTAATTATAATTATAATTATAGAAATATTCCAATCAGATGAGATCAAAAAGATTCAGATCAGATCAGAAAGATTCAAATCAGATCAGATCAGAAAGATTCAGATCGGATCAAATCAGGTGAGAAAGATTCAGATCAGATCAGAAAGATTCAAATCAGATCAGAACTTAAAAAATTTAGATCAAAAACATTCAGATCAGGTGAAGAGAACAACTTCTAATAGGGGTTATTTTCCTAAGTTTCTTGTGGTGCTTTTTCTGGAGTGTTAAAAAAGACAGGAGGATAGTGAATCCTGAAATCGTGAAGGGGCGTGCCTTCACGTGCTAGAGTAGGAGACTAGGGATCCGGAGCCTCTACCTTACTTTAAAGTAAGGTAGGGTGCCTTGCTTCTTCCGGGCCGTCCGATCAACAATTCAACGGTCGGAGATCTTGGGCTCCACTTTTTCGCTAATCTCGAGGCCTGCTTTGCTACTGCCCGACCGTCCGATGCGCAAGGCACCGTCCTAGTCGGGCAGAGGATCCCAATCCGGAGACTAGGAGGTACTCGAACTAGTATATATAAATCACATTGTCAAAGTAAAATAGTTAAAATAGTATTAAAAAAAATACACTGCTTTTATCAAAGTAAAATAGTTAAAATAAGGCTCTGTTTGCAAACCCAATTGGGAAGTGCTTTTAACTTTTTTAAATGATTTGGTAAAAAGTAATTAATAGTAAAAGTTATTAGTGTTTGAGAAAAAAGTGATTTTGAAAAGTAAAAGTTGGTGTTTGGTAAAATAAATGTTTTTTGTGTAATAGAAAAAGTAAAAAGCAGATTCTAGCTTTTAGCTTTTAAGTAATTCATTTAAGTAGAAGTTGTCATTTGAAAATATCTTTTTTAGTTTTTTAAGCCAAAAGATGGGAAGTGCTTTTTTAGTTGTATTTGCAAACAGAGCCTGAGTAATCCACACCCTTAAGCAATTTCAGTCAGTTTGTTCAGCTTTAACCGCCATCACCTTTACACTATTGGACATTGTCAATTTTTAGTTGGTGTATTGTGTAATTAAGAACCCATTTGGTACCATAAAAATAGATTCAATCGGTTCAATCCGTTGAAATTGATAAAATTCGGGCTAAGGTGGTTTAATATGCTGAATTGTGAGATTTTTTTTTTTTTTTGGAAGAATTCGGCTTATATTGATAACAGATAATTCAGAGTATGGGCCAAATGACAAAAACAAATCTGACAACCGTTATCCCGCGAACCAGACTCGGAATTAATCACCTCCAAAGAAGCAATATAATTCATTGATCCATAAATGGGAACCCAAAAGCCAAAAATGGTCATCATATTCCTCTCATCCCCCATATCCAAAACCAACGTCTTACAATCAGGAATACTAAAGCAAAAACAAACAACAAAACTGAAATAAAAATTACTGAAAAACAAATACTCCAAACTTCTTGAAACTTCATCTTCCAAACCTCGACATCTCGATCAATCCAAGGCGGCGGTTCAGGCGGGGGACCCGCCGATCTGTGTTCTCCCTTGTTCAGCCCTTCGTCGCTCCATGTCCGTTCATCGCCTTTGCTGAGGGTCGAAACCAAACACTGAAGCATTGCTAGATTGCCCAACCCTTTACGATTCCATATAATAATGCTCATCTTCCCCGGGTTCAACTCGCCTCAACCACACGAATGGTATCGAAGCTGCCGCCCCCTGAACTCGAAGACGTCCTAAACCGAAAAAAAAACGTTCACATAAACCTGCGAGAGGAGAATCATCCCACCGGCCTCCACAATCGAGAATAAATCCACAAAACCAAAACTCCGAAGAGCTCGGACAAAAAACCGCACTCCTCTCGACAAAACCAGCGGCGGCCGAGACCGCCTAGGCAAGATGCGGCGGACGAAGACCTAGGCGTTACCGGATGGTAACCCTAGAGAGAGAAGCTCCCAGAACGTTTCTCATTTACAAAATCTCTTTTGTGAATAATTATTGTGAGAAAAATATATTTAAAATATACTATTTAGTTTATTAATAAAATAAATAAATAAATGTACGAAAAAAACTAAAATGATCATTTACAGTACTTCAATCAATTCAGCCAGAAAAGTAATTTTGACCTTATTTATTTTGACTATTACAAAATTCAACCTGTTAAATCAATAGTTACGTATTTGATAAAAAGTTGGCATATACGGTGAAAATTTGGGTTCCAAAACAGACTAAAATTTGTGATGAGAAGAGTTTAATGCACCAAAACCTCGTGTAATATATAAAATCAGCGCATTAACTCTTTGTGTTTCGAAAAAATGTGTCCAACTCTCATTTATTATAATCATTCATGTGCAAAACTCCATCCAAGAATAAATTTAACAATTTGAAAAATATATCTCCCAATGTTATAAGTGAACCTGCAAGTAAATTTGTCAATGTTTCTAAATTATGCAAAATACTAATCATTTTCCATTTATATGGCAATTGAATTTGAAGAAATTGACGTAATTAGGACTAAAACATAGCCATTCTTCGAAAATAGGACTTTTTTTACTAAATTTCCAAAATAGGACTTAATGTTTTAAATTCCCTAAATGGGGCTCCACATTGTCTTTTTACCCCTAATATAATACAACTTTAAATCTGTTCGGCATCTCTACGCTCTTCTCGATTGACTCTCTCTCTCTCTCTCTATCCCTCTCTCTCTCCCACCCCCCCCCCTCCCTCCCCCCCCTCTCCCCCCTCTTGTCCACCATCTCTGTCACTTCGATCATTGCCAAAATCAGCTGTCATCGATAGCTTCTGCTGCACACCTCGCTCTACAAAGGTGGGCATGTCTGCACAAGAAACCTCTTTCTTCTCTTCTCTCCTCTTCCCTTCCCTTCCCTTCCCTTCCCTTCCCTTCTCTTCTCTTCTATTTTCTATGCATCTTGCATTTGTTATATTTCTATTTACTTTCCCCGAGCATTTTATGGTGTCCAATCTTGTTAAATATCTTTGTATTTGTGCAACTATCAGTTTAGATGTTTAATATGGGCTACAGGTGTATTTCAACCCATTAGCACCTTTGTAATACGTAAGTTAGACATCATTGTCTATAATTAAAAGGAAGCTAACTTACGTAAACCCTAAGTATCAAAGAATAGTTGCATACTAGCCATGTCATATGTGTTTTCTTCTCTATTATGTTGTTTGATTGTTGAAAACAGATTCTAAATAAATATGCAACTTTTTGTTTGAAAAAAATTGGATTGTAAACATTGGATATGAAAATTAGAGGCTCCAACCATAGCAATTCCAAATTTTAAGGATTTGAGTTGCAGGATATATGTATTTTTATTAACTTGTAAAATAATGCCACATTATGGCATTTTTTTAAGAAGGCAATATTACATCTTTGAAAATGTCATGTTTTTTTACAAATAATGCCATTCTTTTTAATGACAATATTACTCTCTATTTTTCTTTTTCATCTCAAAATTTACTTTTTCGATTTTAAAATGCCATGAATGTATACCTTCATGTCATAATTTCATATAAAAATGTCATAATTTTAAATAAAAAATGTCATGCTTAAATATGAAAATGACATATTTTTGCATCGAATCTAGTAATGTCATGTTTTTGCCATTCTTTTTTTATCATGGAAATCCCACTGCAAATTTTTAACATACTCTCCAAGGGAGATAGTTGCGACGAATAAGGATGACAATAGGGGCGGGGACCCGTGGGGAACCGTCTCGCGGGGAAAGGATGGGGCAGGGCTTGGGGTAAGGAAGGGGTGGGGATGGGTGAGATACTTTACCCCGCTAAAATATGGGGCGGGGGGACAGGGATTGCTACACCCGCCTCGTCCCCGACCCATCCCCTAGCCTTTATAAATATACACTCAAACATATATACACACATGCATACATATACATACATACATACATAATGTATAAATATATTTAATTAAGTTATATGTTGTACAAAAGAAAGACACATGTTTTAGCCATGGTTAATGAATTAATACATATTATATCATAATAATAAGTAATGACTAAAAATATTTATCATAGATGTTATATGAGTTTTAAAAGTGAGAAAGTGAGTTAAAAAATGCACACACATGTATAATATATATAATTAATTGTATTATATTTGATGAGAAATTTGGAAGAATATGTTTAATTATATTTTTACTTTTATTGTCTTCACATAACTTATTTAAATCAAAGAATTATTAAAAATTGACGGTAATAACTTTTATCAAACACAAAATTATCCGCTAGTTTAACTTTTCAAGTGCGACATGGTTTCTACGTGAAATCTGAAGCGACCTTACCCTCTGAAGTAGGGTTTCGTTTTTCCGCCAATTCTGTGTGGGGTTCGATCGGATGGCGATCAACGGTGAACGAGAGGGAAGCAAGGAGTTTTTTATACAGAAAAGCGCATCCGTCCTGGGGATATTGCGACAAGATCAGATGCGAGGCCGAATATCTTCGAGCTCGGCAGGTGGCTTCTAGGAGGACGAAGGTGAATCGTCCATGGCGGATGGCTTCAGGACAGTGGAAAAGCTGACTGGGAGAATAAACGGAATGGGGTTGGACAATTTGGAGGAGGAGCTACTGCTAGACGACGACGAAGAGGGCAAATGCAAATCCGATGGTGAGGCGACGGAGAAAGGAGCAGAGACTTATCCAGTGGTAGGCAGAGTCCTCACGGATAAGGCGGACAAATTCTCGGTCTTCCGAGACTTCATGGCGTCGTTGTGGCATCCAGGAAAACGTGTGCTCATCCAAGATATCGGGGAAAAAGGGTATCTGTTTACTTTTTACCACGTTATAGATATGAATCGTGTGTTGAATGACGGTCCATGCTTGTTTGATCAGAACCTGGTAGTATTAAAAGCTATTAAATTAGGGGACATGCCCTTGAAAGTTCCTTTGGATACAGTCGAATTTTGGGTTCAAGTTCACAACATTCCGTATGGCTTTTCGAATTTGGGTTATGCTCGTAAGATTGGGACGAAATGGGTAGTTATGTTTCTTGGGATGATAATCAATTTGCAGAGAAAAAAGAAGCCTATATGAGGGTGCATGTTCTGTTAGATGTGAAAAAGCCCCTAAAGGTGGGAATTACTATGAAAAAGAGTGGGGGTGGGGGCTATTGGGTAGATTTTAGGTATGAGAAGTTACCTAGTTTCTGCTTTGCATGTGGTATAATTGGACACGCTGAGAAGTTTTGTCCTCTAGTGTACGAATTTAGGGAGAAAGCGAGTGTAAAATCATTTGGTCCTTGGCTAAGGGCGAGAGGAGGGAGGACCCGCCCTTCCAGTGGTAGTCAGTGGCTGGTTAGTGAAGGAGGAATGAGGAGAGACCAAACAGATAGACAAAGTGTCTCCACGGAGGTGCAGGGACAGGGGCCGAGTCACAAGAAGGGAAAGCTACACGATAGGGACGCGGAGGCAGCACTTGAGGATGCAGGGGCTCTTAGCAGTGGCAAGGGGGGACAGAAAAGGAGGCAGACCTTGGGCGGGAAGGAGCAAGAACAGGAGCACTTAGAGGAGGATGGCATGGCTTTAGATGAATCAAAAAATAGGGACGAGGCGGGCTAGAATACCCGGACCCGCCACTATCTGTGAAGATCATATGCTCTTGGCAGATTGCAGCTATTTTTATTTTAGACTTATTTTTGTTTAAGTTGTTTTCCTTTTCAGACAGTGTGTTTTTCTGTTTGCTTTTGTTTTTATTTTTGTCAAGACTCTAGAACATAAGACAGGTGGAGAAGAGCTTAGTTTACCAGTCATTGGCTCGGGTATGCCCAATTCAGGACAGCGAATCTGGTTGCTTCTTTTGAGGTGGCAGATTCTAAGTCTGGTTCAAGGGCAGACGACAGACAAGAGGTTCTTTGTCTGTTTGTTACATGCTTACATTCACTCTTATTAATATAAGCCACCTTCTTCCAAAAAAACTTTTCAAGTGTGACACATACATACACATATAGTTCCTCTGTCTCACAATTAAGTTCCTAGTTGCACTTTTTGGATCAGATTTAATTTTATATACTTCTTTGAAATGTATATTATTCAAATATTAATTTATACGGAGTATTAGATTTTATAAGAAGTGTTTTAGATATTTAGGGTCAATCGTCCACCTTGAAGACCGTAAAAGTCAAACTGGGAACTTAATTGAGCAACAAAAGGAGTATAATAGATTAAAATTATGTACACAAGATAAATAAAATTTATATGGGAGCACCTGCGGGCACTCGTGGGGGACAACGGGGTGGGGCAGGGATGAGGCGGGTCTGAAAGTAACGGAGGATGAGGTGGGGATGAGGAGAACTTTTTAGACATGGGGCGGGTGATGAGGGAGTGAACCCCCGCCCCAAACTCGCCCCGTCGTCGTCCTTAGATGACGTCGACACATCCATAGGATCATTCAGTGGTGGCAATGTGGAGGTCTCGATGTAAGGCATCATTGCAACAGAGTAGCGGGGGGTCTACAGATCACATGATGATTTCACTAAGGGCAATATTGTCTAATCAATAATTAAGAGTCCTGTTTAGGGAATAATAAAGTTAATGTCATACATGTGCACTTCTACTATATTTTAGTCTCATTTAAAGAATTCTTTCTCAAATTTGTTCTTGAAGAGGATTTTGTACATAAATAGTAACTCCCTCTGTCCCTTAAAACTTTGCCAACTTTCCCTTTTTGGATGTCCCACTAACTTTGCCACTTTTCATTTTAAGTAAAGATTTCTAATGCCAGTTAATTCTCTTTCCTCTGTACAAACCTCTACCACGCAGTTTTTACTTTATTAATCCTCGTGCCGGTGAAACTTGGCAAAGTTTTAAGGGACGTAGGAAGTATAACTCAAACTCTCAAAGGAGTTAGACTCATTTTTTAAGCTTCGGGAATTCATGCGCCAAATTTATATATCATTGAGAATTTGGTGCATCAACTCGTGATGAAAAGGAAAAAAGAGAAAGACAAAAAGTATTAGGGTATGTTTGACATAACTAGCTGAAAAAACACTTTTATAAACTTTTTAGTAACGGCTAGCTTTCAGTGACCGGAAAGATCTTAAAACAAAAAGGTAGTAGTTGTTTGATATAAAGCTGACAGTTTAATTTAGCTCTGTTTGGTATACAAGCCGAGAGACTAATTAATGGTAGAAGCTACAGATTTATCTGAGATGCTACTCACTGCAGCATCTCAAAAAAAATCTTTTATTTTTGTAAAAGCTCTTAAGAATTGGAATGTCAAACATACAACCAGAAGCTTTTAAAGACTTTTTAAATAGTACAAAAGCTAGAATACAGAGATTTATGTCCGCCAAACATAACCTTAGGATGTTTTCTCATGGACTAAAAATTACTGATCTTGTTTAAATCTGGCCTGAACTGATCTGATCTACCGAAAATAGTCTACAAAACATCCTTATTCCTTACTCCTTACTCCAACAAAAAAGTAATTCACGCGGCTTACGCGGGGCTGACGACAACCAAGGTTCGGTTCCCGCATAGGCTGAGCTTCCATTGGTCCGAACAACTCACCGATTCTCCCCTTTTATTTTATTTTATTTATTTATTTATTTATTTATTTATTTATTTATTTATTTATTTATTTATGCCTCCGTATTATTTCTATTATTACTCCGTATTTATCCTTCCTTCCGAAAGAAAATTCCGGAATAAAACTTAATTAAGCAACATATACTCCGTATATAAATATATACGAATATATATTTCTTGTGTAGTTTTTTTTTGAATTTGCAGAGCTCCAGAAATTTAATCGATCAACGGATCCGCGATGGCTTCTCCCGCTGAGTATATCTCCCTCATTTTCAACTCTTTACATTACATATATGAACACAGACTGCTTGGTTGTTTTGATTTTGATATTTCATTCTAAAATGATTTGTTGTTTATGATAGATATAATATACTCCGTAGCATACTCTGAAGTGGTCTACAACTAGGTTTATGTGGAGCAGCTTTGGCAGTTTTTAAGAAATTGCATTGTCGTGCTTGTTATTTGGAAAATGTCTACTACCTGTTCATAAATAACTTCTCCCACTAACAAAAGACACTTCGTCCACATTATTTTGTCAATTTAGAAAGCCAATATAATTAAGTACTCTGTGTGATAATATAATAAAATGATTAAACGTTGCTCCCTCATACATTTAATGGTGTGTTTTAGCTTGCTTCTACTCTTGCAAAGTGATTTCCTTTAGATTATGTGAGTAGCGATTAATAGTAAGAGTTGGTAGTGTTGGAAAAGAAACTGATTTAAAGAAGTAACAGTTAGAGTGCCTAATGAATAAGCATTTTTCATGTAATAGAAAAGTGTAAAGCAATTTCAATTACATGCTTTCAACTTTTAGTTTAAAACTGCTTAACTTTAAGCACCTGTTTGAAAACATTACTTTTACCTTTTTAAAGCAAGAAGCTGTGAAGTGTTACTTTACGCAATTGCAAATACTAGTGTATCCTTTTCTTGGTACTATTAAGTATTAAGTCTTAATACCTAGAAATTGATAGAGGTGTGTTTAAAAATTTATAACCAACTCAATAGCAGTCTTTCAAAATACAATTTCACTTTTATGGACAATGAAAGTGAATATCTAAGCACAGTGTAAAGAGGGTACAAAGTGATTGCAATTTGCCACTGCATCCATGCAAAGGAAAGAGGAAAGGCATCCATGTAAGTCAAAGGCGTTAGAAGGTTAATCGGGATTTGAGGAATGGGAGCAGAAAATTTCTGAATCTTGATGAAGGATCTAATTACATATAATTTGTGATGGTATAAAGTAGCTTTATTGTTAGAAGATGAAACTGTTTTTTAAGGAATATGCCTTATGATTTGATTTGAGATAAACAGTGAGGACGGAAAAATTATGTGTTTTGACTTTTGACAAAGGATCTATTTTAATTACATACTACGTATAATTTTGATGGTATAAAGTAGCTTTATTGTTGGGAGTTGAAACTGTTCATTAATGATTATGTCTTATGATTTAATTTGAGTTAAACAATTTGGAGATGGCAGGACTGCTCGCTAATTGGTGATAAACAATCATGCACTCATAGTTAAGCATGGTGGTTTTGTCTGTGCAAAGAATCTGTATATTGTCAATACCCATTCTGTTGCTATTTACCACTTAGGTTTCCAGAGAACACTTTTCGGACCTGCTTGTGTCTTAGCTGCATGGATTCATGCATACAAGTGGCTCACTGTTATTCCCTTATTTTGTGTTGTGACAAATACGAAAATATCAATATGCATGTTACTGAGGCTTGACTTAGCAACTTTCTCAACTTACTTTATGTTCATGATAAATTCTATGTAAGTGGAGAAATATTTGACGATGATGGTTTTGAAATTTCATCTCATCATCCTTTCTTTAAAAGGTTTCAATAGGAAAGGCATCCAGCTTTAAACTTTGGCAATGATTTTTGGATAGATATAGTGTTAAATAATATAAGCACTAATCAAGCACTGTAGTTTCATGTCACCAACCCCAAAGTAGCTGGGATTAAGGCGGTGATGATGATGATGACAGACTGACAGGTAGCATGTATTGTTCATTATATCTGCTTACCATTGCAATCCTCTACCATTTCATTGGTTGCAGGTACTACAAATCTCTTCCACCAATCAGCAAAGCTTATGGCACTGCTTGTTTGGCTGTTACAGTTGCATATGCATTGGGGGTAGTCGATCCGGTAAACATTGCATTGTTGCATGAGCTTGTATTCTATCGTTTTCAGGTAAACACTTTGATCTGTATATTCAATGTATTAGACTATAAGTGGTTGCCATAACACTTCCTGCACAGTGGTTTCCACTGAACACTGATCTGGTGGATGCAGTGAGCTACTGAGCTGCCATCACATTGGTGGATGTAGTGGTATATATTCTAATGGTCAATACTTTCTGTAACATATATCTATTTTTTATATGTAGATTAAGTAATCATAATATGACCATTTCCTGCTTAAGTTTTTTTAACGGCATCTTTTGAATTGTCATTCCAGTTGATAGTGTGTCATATAGACATGTCCGATAAGTATGAGAATTTGACATTTACGAGAAAAGCCATGGTTTGGGATTTATTCCTGCTGTTTACTAAAGTAACACATTCTTTGATTAATATGTGTGCATCCCTACACGTGATATGGGTAGCTCTCTTGAGTAGTTTCTTTAGGGTTTCACCTAGTCCTGCTCTCACTGCCCATTTAAAAAATGGCTAACAAAAGAATACATGTGTTTCAAATGGTGGGTTTCTTGCTTTCAGGTGTGGAGATTAATAACGAATTTCTTTTTCCTCGGAAAGTTTTCCATCAATTTTGGGATTCGCCTCTTAATGATGTAAGTACTTACACTACTTAGGGCTATCATGGCTAGAAGATGAGCAGATAACTTGATATGAAAATTTTAACTTATTAAAAAAATTAATATTCAACTGTAAATATCCATTAATACTGCCATGGTTTATAAGAAAATTACATCATCAAACTATACCGGCAACATGTTATTGTGAGGATGAAAATGTCTATTTTTACCCCTTAGCAGATGTCCCACATTAAACTGAAAGAAATTTCTAGTAGATGGAAACCAAGTGCATACTTATCTTAAGTTACTTTCAAAGAGATCTGTATCATTTTAAGAAGAAAGTAGAAAAAGTGTGGTTCATATTATGTTCAAAAACTTGTTTTATGTCATAAAAATCTAATCATACAATCAAGAAATTGGGGGGGGGGGGGGTATTTAGCTGAGCCGTTCATCCCAAGTAGTTAAATCGCTACTCAGTAGCAACTCGTTCAAGGGCCAAGTAGCGAGTAGGACGAAGTACTCGGGATTACTCAGTGACTACTCGACCCTATATTAATTTTAAAAATATAAATGTCTGAAATTATAGTAATATACTATGTATTGTTCATATAATTCTTAGATATGAATAAGATAATAATAATCCTAATGAAGAAGTGAGAAAGAAGATAGAGCCGTGCAAGAGAATAACTTACATAGACTCATAGAGATGAGGAGGAACCAGTTTAAAATACTTCTAAACATGCTTTTTAAGATTAATTTCCAATTTTTAAAATACCAACTTGTTATTTATAAATTCCATAATATCCCTCTTTAATTAAAAACTTTTCAGATTTAACAAAAAGATATTTTATGACTGGCGGAGTAACTCGCTGAGTCAAGATTTTCCCTGAGTCAAGTAACTTGGAAAAACAACACGGGCAGAGTTGGATTGCTAAGCGGAACAGCCACCCCCCGAGTTGCAAGTCCTTGCCAAGTAGATAACACAACTTTCATCTGATAATGGAAAGCTATGTAACCAAAGCTATTAAAATAACTATTTTATTATTATTACTCATGTGTTATGGGAAATATAATAAAATTCACATTAATTGATAAAGTTCACTCATGTGTTATGGAAAGCTATGTAACCAAAGCTATTATAATAACCATTTTATTATTATTACTCATCTGATAACCATTTTGGTACACCAGTCTAAGTGTCTTGACAAAGTTCTTTACTGAATTAAAGTCTAACGTCACTTGTAAGTAATTGATTGACCCCACCAAAAGATTTTTTATTGACATATTTGTTGTGTGCTCATGAGGAATGAATCGTGTATTCTAATGCTCTGCTTGATGCTTTATCTGCTTTAGAGCTAGATATGGTGTGCAGCTGGAGAGTGGGCCCTTTCAAAGACGCACAGCTGATTTCCTATGGATGATGATATTTGGAGCCTTATCATTGTTGGTACGTTACAATCATATCATATGGCAGTTGTTTTGCTAAGGGGTGGGTAGATGTGTTACTTTGGCTACCCGCTACCTCAGTGAATCAATGACCAATTATCTATGTATTCATTCATACCTTTGCTTGCTCAAATGGGTCCTTTTCGTACATATCAATTCTTTGTTTTAACTATGCTCGTCTGTGCTTAGGTTTTATCATCGATTCCTTACTTCTGGAGCCCTTTCCTGGGAATATCACTTGTCTTCATGCTTCTATATGTCTGGAGTAGGGAATTCCCAAATGCCAATATCAATATATATGGCCTTGTGACTTTGAAGGTATGCTTACCCCACAGGTTATTGGGGATTTATCATAAATTTCATTTATATGGCCTGACATTTTTCTTATTTGCAGGCATTTTATCTCCCTTGGGCTATGCTTGGTTTAGACGTGATCTTTGGATCACCAATAATGCCAGATCTCTTGGGTATCATTGCTGGACATCTGTACTACTTCCTAACAGTGTTGCATCCACTTGCCACTGGGAAGACCCTCCTGAAAACACCAACTTTGATGTATCCTTTCCTTGGGGCCTTTGGGGACACATAAGTACATGTTCTTTCTTTCTGGTGGGGCTCAAAATTCGCCCTTTTCTGCTTTTAAGTTCAGTGGCTGTGGATATAGGAACCTATGATGCACATAATCTCTTGGGGATAGCATTTTGACCTTTTTTTAAAGGAAACTGACGATTATATTAGAATTCCAGAACTAACGACATTACAAACTTTTCAGCCTCCTGCTATCAAACCCACCAAAACCCAAAGGTCCCCTCACTCTCTGACTAGACATAGAAACGACCACCCGAACTAGAGCGGATTGGGTCGCTAACCATCTGAGAGATTTGAAAATTAATTCGGCTTTTAAAGCCATCTTACTTCTTAGCACAAAATGTCTACCCACCACATAATCAAAACACACCGAAACAACAAAAGGGGTCCAAAATAAAAAGCGAACTGGAAAATAACAATATTAAAATGTAAACTAAACGAGCCTGTCTCTGCCTCCCAAACTCTCTTATTTTGGACGTTTAAAAAACTGACAAGTAAATAACGTTTTGGCGTTGTTTCCACAAGTAAATAAAGAAATGTTTGGGGGATGGATACTTTAAAAAGTAAATGTTTCTTGATTTTGCTTCCAAAATAAAAATACCAAAGATAGTGGTGCCATAAGGTAAAAGTATATACATTATTCAAATTTATTAATTTTTTGGGCATTGCATTCTTTCATTTTAGTTTATACTAACTTTGTCCCGTTTTTGAGGACTGAAATATGTGATTCATATTATTTATTTCTTTCTCCTGTGCATAAGCGTGCCAAGTAGAGAAGGGACACTTATATAAAAATGTTGTTGCCTTATCCCGCGCTCCGTAGGACCATATCTTATTCATGGATGCAGATTTTCTTTAACTGAAACTGCTTAGACACAAATTGGTAGCAAGATGGAGAATTGGTGGCGCATTAACAAATCGAGCAGAACCTGAGAGGAGTTCAGGCGGAGCATTCCGAGGGAGATCTTACCGTCTTAGCGGATGAAGAATACTATGTTCCTCCTTTTGTTGGAGTGGAAAGCATGTAACTGAATGTAGATGATGATTTGGCGATGTCCTCCTATATATGTCGAATGTGATGCTGACACCTAGTCTAGACAGGACTGGAGCTTGCTGTAACTGGAGAGATTTTGTTCTTTCACGCCGATTGCAATTTACTCTTCTGAACATTGTGGAACATTTAACTAAGTTTCACTGTTTCAGTTTCTTGTCAGTAGAAACTGTAATGATCATTCATGTGTACTGCTGCATAGTTCTGGCTGCCCCATTGCAGAAATAGTGAAGTAACTTGGGTGCGGTAGGAAAGATGAAGAGGACTCACATGTTTGTTCTATTTCTCATTTGGTTTCTCTCAAACTGTTTCCCCTAAATATTGTCCACTTTTCTAATTCATACTTTATACGTCACACATTTTTACCTTTTTAATTCATAATTGACCAATCTCTCTTGCTTTTTTAAATGAATCCACGCATCTGGCAATTGGTCCCATTTGAGAAAATGAATGAACTACCCCAGTACTTTATTGCATTTAAGAGAAAAATAATTCAAATATTTCAAACTTTGAACCATTGAGGTAGATATTACAAATTTTCATATGTAATACTCCGTATAAATATTCTTAATGTTATAAGATTTAAATACATAAATATGCACTTTAAGAAATCATGTGGTAGGAAGATTTAAATTTTGTAATGTTGCACTAAAACTGTTTCATTTTGAACTAATATTGGATTATGTTGCATCAGAATAGTTTGATGTTGCACTAGACAATTGCATTACAGATTTTTTAAAAAGTATTTACAAAAATAGAGGTGGATTCGGGTTGAGCCACACGGCCCGATACTGTGCGGGACCGGGACCGGCCCGGTTCTCGGGTCCAGGTCCGGGTCGGGCCTAGGCACGGGGGGTGGGTCCGGGCTCGGGTCTTACATTTGGCGAACCGGCCCGGCCGGTCGAATTGTTTTTTTTTGTTTGTTTGTTTTTTTTTTTTTTTTTTTTTTTTTTCCATTTTTTGGGGTTCCACCTGGGTTGGGCTTGATGGTTAGGAGGGGTTTGGGGGTGGGGGGTAAGGCGGGGTTAGGAAAACAAATATATATATATATATATATATATATATATATATATATATATATATATATAGATTTTGGTTCAAGTGAGAAATGCATCTAATGTGAGAAATGAGAATGAATCTCAGCCATTAGATTCACGAAGTTGCACTAAAATGATTTGATGTTGCATGATATTTAAATTTTGCACATGTTGCACTAAAACTGTTTTATGTTGCACTAATATTTGACGGCGTTGCACCGAAATAGTTTCATGTTGCACTAGACACGTCTAATACGGATTTTTCAGAAGTATTTACAGAAATGCCACCGTGCTAGATTGCATATTTCAGTGCATCATCAACTCTCTCTCTCTCTCTCTCTCTCTCTCTCTCTCTCTCTCTCTCTCTCTATATATATATATATATATATATATATATATATATATAGAGAGAGAGAGAGAGAGAGAGAGAGAGAGAGAGAGAGAGAGATGACTTTTCATGTCCAGCCGGCCTGACGGGAACCGCCGTCCGGCCGAGGACATTTTGGGCACTTCCAGGTGGAAATTTTTGATGAAATTTTTTGGACATGTCCGTCATCAAGTCTAGTTTATCCATACCAAATTTCAGCTCAAAATTCGATTGGGAAGGCATTCAAATAATTTTTTGAAGTTGACTGGGTTTTTATATGTATACTTTGACGCAGTCAACTTCAAAAAATTATTTGAATGCCTTCCCGGTCGAATTTTGATCTGAAATTTGGTATGGATAAATTAGACTTCATTAAGAACATGCTCAAAAAATGTCATCAAAAAATTCCATCGGGAAGTGCCCGAAATGCCCTCAGCCGGCCGGCGGTTCCCGTCAGGCCGGCAGGACAAGAAAAGGACTCTCTCTCTCTCTCTCTCTCTCTCTCTCTCTCTCTCTCTATATATATATATATATATATATATATATATATATATATATAACCAAACCGGAGGCCCGGCCCGGACCCGGTGGCTACCCGGGCCGGTCCTGGGTCCACCAATTCTGAAACGTCGGCCCGCCTCGAATCCACCCCTATACAAAAATGTCACAATGTTAGGTTGCATATTTCAAAGTAGTCAAAATTCAATAACTGTAATTTTTGTCACCTAAAGGCTTCTTATTTGAACCTAACTCAATATGTGTGTGTGTGCAGTGGAGGAGTTAGGGAGGGGCATGAGGGGGCAAGCGCCCACACTACGGTAAAAAAAAATACTACTACTTATAATATAATTATTGGCCCCTTCTTTTATTCAAATATAAATACCAATTAAGGATAATTTTAGATTAAGTGTTAAAATAAAAGACAAAGTCTTTCAAGAATAATAATAATAATAATGTGGAGTTCTCTGGACAAGTGTGGAACTCACTAAAATCTTGTGAAAGTGTGTGGAAGCCTCTAAAACATTTTGAAGAATTGTGGAGTTTTCTAAACCCGATCCTTCCAGAAAAAATTAGAGAAACTTGTGGATACTTTGTGGAAGAATCTAGATGTGTAATGGTGTATAAAAAAATTCTAGAGAAGCTTTGATGAGATTAGTACGTAGAAGCTTCCTATTTTTATGAGAATCTTGAGGAGAGCTCTTGAGTGAGTGTAGAAAGCTGAGTGAGAATATCTTGAGAGCAGAGAGTGGGAGCCTTCTTGTGAGAGAATAAGCCTCAAAGATATCATTTGATAAAGTGTATGTGATCGATCAAGTTAGGTAGAGTGGCGTGGTCTCAGATACAAAGTGAGTAAGTGTAATACAAAGTGTTATTGTCATATTGAGTTTTTGTATTATGAGTCAAGCATTATGTAATGAACTAATTTGTGCTAACGTATTACCCTTTTATTGTTTGTATTATATTCTGAGAAAATACACAATAATTTTAAGTCTTTCGTACGCCCCTCCTTCGAAAAATCTCTGGCTCCGCCACTGTGTGTGTATGTATGTATGTGTGTGTGCGTGTATATATATATATATATATATATATATATATATATATATATATATATATATATATATATATATATATATATAAAGGGGAAAGATCAAGTACAAAGTGTGTTTATTGTGCAAATGTTTGTACGATGCACCTTGACGTTATTTGCATTGCATATTGAGGTTCAAAGTGTTGCATAGTATATAGTCATAAAATAGCAGTTGCACATTAACGTTCAACGAGTTGCACCCTAGAAAAGTTAGGTTTTATTACAAAAATGCCACTTTGCCTTTATATCCTTTAGATAAACTCATCGGATGGTCAAGATAAGTTTGTACTTTGTAAATTAAGCATGGTTTGTATTTGATCTCTATTCTATAAATATATATATATATTATATATGCAACACTTTTGATTTGATATTTTCCAATACACGATTTTTACTATTATCATTGACTATTAGTAAAAATTACAGAAGTTTAAAGTCAACTTCAAAATTTTAATCCGGGACAAATTTATAATGTTTTATATAACAAAATTGATTAATACATGAATGAATAATATAAAATCAAAGAAGAGTGCGAATAATGTAAAAATTTGTTGAATATGTTTTTGTTTCCTCTTCTCCAGACTTTGAAGTTTGAACTCTTGACGTGTGGTATGAAATATTTTACCTACCAACCAAGCATGCAAAGAGTTGGTCATATTATTTATTTCAAAATAGATATTTAGAATGTTAATTATATCATCATGAATGCTAAAAGTTTTAAATTGTGTATTAAACGACATAAATTTACATTGTGAAAGAAAAAAATATATTATCACGGTGATAAGATTACTTTTTATATAAATTGCAAGATATTTCTATTATATATATAGAGTAATCTTCCGGTCAGGTATACCTGACCGGAGCCGCCGTCCGGCCTCCTCCTTTTGGGGGCCTTCCCGGTGGTATTTTTTGCTCAAATTTTTGGTGTATGTTCCTCATCAAGTCTAGTTTATCCATACCAAATTTCAGAAAAAAATTCAATCGGGAAGGTCGTCAAATGATTTTTGCAAGTTAACTGGTCCAGAAAATACATACTACGTATTCCGGACCAGTTAACTTGGAAAAATCATTTGACAACCTTCCCGATTGAATTTTTTGCTGCAATTTGGTATGGATGAACTAGACTTGATGAGGAACATACACAAAAAATTTGAGCAAAAAATACCACCGGGAAGGCCCCCAAAAGGAGGAGTCCGGACGGCGGTTCCTGTCAGGTATACGTGACAGGAACATTTGTGTGTGTGTGTGTGTGTGTGTGTGTGTGTGTGTGTGTGTGTGTGTGTGTGTGTGTGTATATATATATATATTTTGAGGTTTATTCCTTCAACCTTCGGGTCCAACACGTAAGCCCAAAGATTTTGAGTCGATTTTGAGTATGTGAGTAAATAAAGTGATCCAACAAACAAGTAAGATGGGCTCAGAAAGTGATAAGCAAGTAAGAGATCTGATATTATTAATGTCTAATAAACCCCCGATACAATACGCTTGCTTAGGGCCGCTGGCCGTTCGTCTTACACCTCAATAGAAGAGCTGCGAGTAATAAGCTAAGAGCTGAAAGTGAGCTAGAGTATTAAGGCTAATAAGTTGTCAACCCTTTACAATGAAATAAATGCTATTGTTTATACTACCAATGGGCAGTTGGCCATGCTGGCGTGGAGAGCTGTGAATGGCTGATGCTCCAACCACCAAATTCCCAGCATTAAATGCGCTTCCTGTCAGAATCTGGGTTTCCCGCCCAATCTGTGGAGACGGGCGTCTCCCTAGGCTTAGGGTCTGCTCCTAATAAATACTGTAAAGGGTTGTGGGCCGTACGTACTTGGGCCCTTGTGTGAAATGCGATGTTTGGTTCCCGGGTAGAGCCCCCTCTGAATCGTGGGTCGCCTATGCCGACGTTCGTCTTGATGGTCTTAGGCGTGATCCATGACTCATTGTACGTTTGTCTTAGCATGCTACCTTGTTGGGCCCAGACGACCGTCCTAGGTTAATGGGCTGATCCTCTTATTGGGCCATTAACCCAACAATATATATAAGTTTAGTTTGCAGTATTTAATTTCACATCCCTTCAAATTTTGGGGTAATTAAATTCTTTTTCCCTACATCAAACTCTAGCCTGCTAAACTGAATCTTCTTCTACCCTAATGGCCTGTTTGTTTGGGGGTTAACCTAGGTTATTGGAGGTTCAATTTCTAGTTAACCCCGTTTGTTTGTATTTTTGCAACAAGAACCTAGGTTATGTGTTAACCTCACTTAACTCTCGAGAACCTGCAAGAACCTTAAATTGAAGAACCTCCGAATCAGGGGTTTTTGGAGGTTAAGTTCTCATTTAACATAAAATGACCTAGAGTATCTTCTTCCAAACAAGATTTATTACATTAACCTAGGTTCACCTTCTATATTTCCAAA